ACCACACTTTACCCCACCACACTTTACCCCACCACACTTGACCCCACCACACTTGACCCCACCACACTTTACCCCACCACACTTGACCCCACCACACTTGACCCCACCACACTTTACCCCACCACACTTGACCCCACCACACTTTACCCCACCACACTTTACCCCACCACACTTTACCCCACCACACTTTACCCCACCACACGACGACCTGCTGATCGACTAACTGTGGGGTCACACACTGGGTGGACAGAGGCGGGGTGGAGATTTAAGAAACGTGCGCCATCAAGTCCAGTTTTCTGACCATCACACCAGGGAAGCTTGAAAAATATGTGTCATACTCTTAGGGTCACACTCATGCAGCGGTACATTATTTTCAACGTGACCCCTGACTGATGCTACGACTGTGGGTACCACGGTGGGGAGATGCTAACTACCTCGCTCGGTATACAGGAGGTCGTGGGTTTGATCGCGACCCTGATTATGCCTGTTGCATATTTGGAGTTTGCATGTCTCTCTCTCCGTGGTCGTGTGGATTTTTCTCCGGGTCTTCCGGGTTTTCCCTCCACACTTAGAATCAACATTCATTGAGAGTATTTGGATGCTGCTATACATTTCCAAATGATATGCCACTCTGTTGAGCTATCATATGTGGCCAGGTCGCTTCTGAAAAGGAGCAATACAGCTCAATGGGCCTTGCCTGGTAACATAAAATAAATAAAAAAATATTTAATACTATATGGGGGTTCTTTGTACCAATGGTCATTCATGAGTGTCACATCAGTCGCGTCTCCCTAAAGTTAACATTGCTGTGGGGGCAGGAGTGGGATCGTGGCAGTGGTCGTGTGGGAGCTGGAATGGTCTGACTTGCTTTATTTGGGACACAAACACACCTGTGCTAATCCGGGGCCTGGGATGTTGGCCAGGGGCAGGCCAGAGGCCCCCTCTGTGTTTTGTGGGCAACATTTGCTGACAAACAAGAGCAGAGGCGCACGTCTAATTAAGGGCAAACAGGAGGGAAAGCATAAACACGGGGCTCCTGCCCTCCGACGTAGGCTCAGAGGTCTTTGCAGAAGCAGCTGCGAATAACCCCCCCCCCACCGCCACTTATTGCAAAGTCTCTCTTTAACTGAGAGAATAGGCTTATGATGTAAATCATCATCAGCAGCAGCCAGTATCCACTGTTGGATGAAGGTCTCCCCACATTGTATCCATCCTCGCTAAGGTCCCCACTCGCTCCTGCTCCATGAGGCGATCTCGTTATTCCATCTCCGTGAATGTCGTCCTCTCAGGCGTGTTCCCCTCCTTTGGACGCCTTTCACAACAGTTCAATGCATAACCCCTGTCTTTCAAACTGAGCGCACACCGTAATTGTATAATTGAATAACAGTGACCACTATAATCACTGTGTTATTAGAAGTTAGATGTGCTTTACAGAAGGCATGATGCCAATATGTAGTGTGCAGTACAAAATGTTCCCTTTTGGAACACTTATTAAAGAAAGGTCTTATCTTCCCAGAGGACAATATCGAATTCCAGCATGCACTTTGATAAGAGCAGGATATTAGCCTCGGGGTCATTGTTAAAATCCTGCTACGGATCAATATGACCCCGGGTGTGACTTCTTCAACGAAACTCATTTGTAGGTTAAAAAATGCTGTCCCGTGGGCAAGAGGCAGTGAATATCTCCGTTAAATATATCCTCGTGCTTGCTGATTACTTCGTAGTAGCATAAACAAGGCCAGCGGTCAGAGCGGTCAGCCAGTACCGCTGACACCTGGGTTCGAGTCCAGGTGTCAGCCCCCCTGTAATCAAACCAGGTCGTCAGAAATCATAATTTTTGGTTCAGTTAATTTGACGACATTTAAGCTTGGATTTTTTTTTTACTTGCTACGAGACGGACGTCTCGACAGCGGAGTGTGTTGGAAAGTGCGGCTCCCCTCTCGTGGATTAAAGATCGCGTGAAGCGATTAAATAAGTGGATCTCTATTATCGCCTTCTGTGAGCCATTCTCTAAATTTCCCGAATGAGCAAGTGCACCGAGCTCGATAGAGTTAATATTCAATGCAGGGTGCTTCAAAAAAATGTTAACACTTCGGAGAATTTGCAACAACACCACGTGACATGTGCTGCTGCCTCCGGGCCCTGGAGACCACCTGGAGAGGATTCCAGGCAACGCGTTGACAACGATGGCGAACACGTGGGAGACTCTTTGGCTTTTTCAAGCAATCAGCATTACATTTGTTGTGTTAAAAACGATAGTCCCACGTAAATGTGAACATTTTTTGAAGCACCTTGTATTTCATAATCTCATGACATGACACAGATAAGCATAAACGCAATACAATTGTAAAACAGACACGAACAACAGAGGGTAAACACTGTTTTAGCGTGATGTTTATCGTGCGGGAATGCATCAGCTGCCCACCACGTGAAACTCAGCATCTTCTGCCAAATTGGAGAGAAGTTTTTCTAGTTGTTGTTTGTTAAATGAACAAATTACTCTGACAGCTACACAGACCACTCTGACCACTTGAGCTATCGTGGCCATCTCAGGACTATTACGAAAACACATTATTCTATTTTAAAAAGGTTTAGCAATAATTTTTGGCATTTCCCATTCTTGCCACGAAAAATAAACCAAGATTACAAGAGGTTTTTCTTTGGTTCTTTCGGTAAAGTCACATAGAATGAGAATAAAATAATAAAATAATAATTTGAAAAAACAATAAAATTTTATTGTGTTATTAAAATAATAAAATAAAATAACACATAATACAATAAAATTTTATTGTGTCACTTCATTTTGTTATTTTATTATTTTATTCTCGTTCTACATGACTACCGAAAGAACCAAAGAAGATGAATCCTTGCAGTCACGAAAGCTTTAAATCGAAAATTACAAGAGGTTGTTGGTCCATTTTTTTTCCTTCCTTTTCCCTTTTCTCCATTTGGATTTCGTTGCAGAGCAGTTAGCAAGTTTGGTCCGTTCACGTGAAGCATTTTTTTAAAAACTTTTGTCACGTCAAATCAGCATCTGACCTCTGCCCCCATGCGGAGCTTGCCGGCCAGCAGATTTAAAAACACTGACAGAGGAGCTTTGTTTTAAAGCCGTTCCGTTCGGAGATTGTGCTCTCAAAAATCATGTGAAAAATTCCAGACACGCTGGCTCCGAAAAACCGGAGGCATGCAACCCTTGTTGTTTTGTGTGTGTGTGTGTTGTTTAACTGTGCACCTATTTTCCTTTCTGTGGTCCCGATGCTGTCCACTGCTGTTAGGCTCAGGGCCAAACCCCAGCACCTCCAGCCCAGATTAAGCTTAGTCTAAACCGTAGATCGGCTTACCTTATTATCTTGAAAGGAAAAAAATATATTTGCTCGTTCAACAGTGTATCCGTGCGCATTGTGTGCGTGTGTTTATATGTACACACACTCAAAGTGCGCAGGGCCTGGCACAAGCGCGGCAGTGATGTCACCGCCACTTCGTGGCGAACAGTGGCTGCTGTTGTTGTTGTTGTTTCGTGCCCACATAGAAGATCGGCAGTAGCATCACATCTCTGGATCTTCTCCTCAGCGTAGTACCAGCAAAAAGGACGTAACGTTCATAGTTTTGTAATGCATTCATCTATCATCCAATGGTTAGCCATCGGCTTTTGGCTGGCCATCCAACAAGGCTATCACCGCATCGGGCGCTTTCAGATGCGCTTCTGCGGCCGTCTGGAACGCTCTTCCTTCCGATATTAGGAAGCCACCGGAGCTCGATTGAAAACTCATTTCTATAGAACTCATTTTTGTGTTTAGTTTGTTGTCCTTTCCCTGGACGTCCCATTAGCACCAGTTGGCTATGTACGGTGTGAAAAAAAGCTCAACATGCATGCATACGTACATCTTCATCGGCACATGATGTTTCCACTGCTGGATGAAAATGGTTTCGCAACACAGGAATCTAACTATCTCCGGCGCACGAGGAAACTTGGCTGCTCCAAGTCAATGGAGGACGTCCTCTCGTGTGTGTTGCCTCTCATGAGAGCTACCCTCTTGCTTGCTTCCACCATAAACCGTCGTCTCTTGAAATATGCGTGACCGTGCTTCACCAGGCCGGCCCATGCAGTTCGCGAAGATAACCTGCCTGACATGAGCAGCACACTACTACTCACTTAGGCAACTGCCAACCTCTCTCTCTCTCTCTCTCAAGTTGGTCAACGGATATTTAGAGTGGAGTTTTAAATAAACGAATTTAAAGCACCAGTGTCATTATACCGTTAGAGTGTAACCCTCGAACCCCGCAATCAAAGCAACAACACTTTTAAGAGGTTTTTGAAAGCTTATTCATATTCTTTGGGTCTTTCGGTAAAGTCACGTAGATAGGTTCAAAGAAAATAACAAAATAACAAAAAAAACTACGACGTTTCGATCGCAACACAAGCGGTCTTCATCATCACCCCCTTTCCCTGAAGACGATCGCTTGTGTTGCGATCGAAACGTCGTAGTTTTTTTGTTATTTTGTTATTTTTTTAACCTATCTACGTGACTTTACCGAAAGACCCAAACAATATGAATTCCTGCAGTCACGAAAGCTTTAAGTCGAGATTTTTTGAAAGCTGTTATGAATGCGTCATATAGCTCTCAAACCCTTTGTGTCTGTCGCTCGCGTGCTCACATTTACATATTTACAATTTCTACTGCATGTGTGTAAATGCGCAGGTAAAAAACATAAGAGGATGGTTTACATCTGCTCGTCAGATTCATCGAACGTGTGTTTTCTTATATCATTTGCGGTAAATAGGGTGCCGTCAGTTTTGTAGATTCAGCTTTTGGAGAAAGTGAACTTGAGTCGAATCATAATTACCTGTAGGTCTTGCAATAATCTGTCAAAAACTGGGATAGATCAATTTTGTTGCCTAGTCCAAAAAGTGGATCAGAAATCGTAATATTGGGTACGAAAAAAACCCGCGTGTGAAGTGAACAGATTTTTTTTGTTGTTGCGCTGTGTGCCTTGGGCAGGTTAAACATGCCCCACGATGACAGCCCCAAGTGCAAGGACCTCCTCTCCAACGGCCAGTTCAACGTGATGGCTCCCACCCTCAACTACGAGACCCACCCGTGGACCTGGTCCAAATGCAGCCGCAAGTACATCACCGAATTCCTGGAGTAAGAATCGACGCACGTTTCACTTCAGCATTCACTCTGCGATGCGTTTTTTTTATTTACATGAGGAAACCACCGGAGCGATGCACTTTCAAATCTCAAATGAAAACTCGTTGCTTAAGAAGTGCTTTTTGTATTTAGTTTATTTGTCCTTCCACCCCGCGCCTCTGATTAGCACGGTTGGCTTCGTACGGTGCAAAAGTAGTCCAACATGCACACGTACAAATTGGGGACTTACAAAGCACTTAAATCTAACCACACGTTTCTTCTTCCTGTTGGGGCACAACCATCTCCTTCACTGATATCTCCGTGCAGTGCTCTCTCTCTCTCTCCCACTTCTCTCTGCCAGTCGCTCTGCGTCTTTCAGCAGAGGCAACGTCCATCCCGTCCGGCGTTTGATGTTTGACGTCCAATCAGATCGTGGTCTTCCTCTTCCCCGAGCACCTTCGAGTGTTCCTTCCATCAGCGTGCTTTGATCATTTGCCACCCGTCACACCGTCCATCCCGGTTGCGTGTCATAAACATCGCAGTTTCCTCGACTTGACCTCGCACGGTAGCGTCACATATCGTTGTCCACGTCTATTCCCTCCGGCACGCTTCGTTATGTGTTGCTGCTCTTTTAAAGGATTTTCTTTTTTATCATTCTCGGTAGGATTTCAGTGAGCAAAAAGAGATGCGTGTGGCGGTGTACGGTGGTGGGTGGAAAAATTGGGATTAGTTCCTGGGAGGGGGGGGGGAATGTATTTGATGAAGCAGTGAAGGCATCGGGATAGTAGTGGCACAGAAGACATGTTTTTTTATGAGGGAAAGGCAATTTCAGGAGGAGGAGGAGAGGGAGAGAAAGGTCTTGATCCTAAACTTTTAATTAGTTTTTCCTTTTTCTCCCCAATATATGAAGCGGACATCATTTGCATTTAGAACTCTCGCAGCAAGCAGCTAACCGAGTATATCAGCGAACTTGCCCCGAACGATGATGCCACGAAGGTATTTCTGTAGTCACTTCAATTGGCCTCCTTAGCCACACCGTGTGCACGTGCGTGAACTTGAAGAGGAGAACAGAGCTGGCAACTTAGACTGCTTGGGGGCACGTACTTTCATCAGGGGGTTGCAGAGACGTAAGTAGGGGATTGACCACACGTTGAGCTCGAGGTATCGAGAGAGGAGGGCTGTGGTCGCCGGAGCGGAGAGCCCAGGGTAGGGAAGTAGAACGAGATGAGAGGGGAGAGGGGGGGGGGGATGGGAGGGGTGACACCATGGTTGATTTTGAAAACACAGAGGGTGGTCTCGTGATTAATCTGCCATCGGATTGGGAGCCAGCACAGGGATCTGCGAATCGGAGTGATATGGTCTTGTTTATGAATGTGGGTGTGAAGACTGGTAGTCATATTACTGATCAACTGGTCCGATTTTGTGAACTTTGTTCGTTACTTCCCTGTGAATTATGTTATTGTAGTATTATGTACAACGATGTGTGTGTGTGTTGAAGCTCCCACATTTTAGCTTGCATATATCTTCCATGTTATGCGTAAACATTAATTCTATATCCTTTATTTTTATCAACTTACAGCCCACTAAGACGGCAGTGGTCTTTTACAGATCAAAACATAAAAGTTACTGCTTTCTCAGACGAGCGTTTGGCAGTCCACGTTTTTCCATTGATGGTTCTGAACTCGTGATGGAAATTCTGCGTTCCTATGGCAAGGGTTAGGCTGTTCAGAGGCCATGCACTGTTCACTTCCAAAACAAATTTTAAATCATTATCTCTGTTTATTTTGTTATTTATTCAAAATAGTGGATTATAAACGTGCATATCATTATGTTAATTTATGCAAATTTTCTGAGTAAAATCATCAGAAGTTTATTTCCCAAGTAATTCCCATTGTGCTAAGGAAGCTCTTCTTGAAAGGTGACTCAGCAGGCAGACATCAATAATTGTCTATACAATTAAGTAAAACAAACTTGGTTTCGTCCTTTATTTATTTGCTCATATACAATCAGTCAAATGCTTGCCCTTACATTGAGCGACAGACATAGGAATATATGGATAAGGGAGCAAATGAAAATCAGAAAGGTCATGTTAACTCGCTAATTCATGGGAAAAGGTAAGCGGTCTTGGGCAAGACGGGTAGCGAGCTGTGATGACAGCTGATTGGACGGGGACTCGTGAAGGAAGTGCAGCCAATGGGAGAAACGTGTGCAAGGGTGGAGATGGAGCGATACGAGCAACTCAAGCGCAGGGGCGACGTGATGTACAGCATCACCGTGCGGTGAGGGATGGCAATGGTATGGGAGACCTTCATCTAGCAGCGGGTATGCAATGGTAAGTGGTGATGATACAGTCCACATCCTTATCAACGTTGACCGTTCCAGTTCGCCTTTCAATGGAAATGTACACATATATCATAACCCTTTCTTTTCCAATTTCACAAGTACTACTCGGGCATACGGCCTCTCCACGTACAACCTCATATGCCCGTTCGTAAGCCCTCCAGCAGATCGCTTTGCACTGCCACACCGCGTCCACATTGTCACGCAGGGTTGACGCAAGGGCTGGTCGTGACATGGCATGTGATTGGGGGTGGCTGGAAGTGTAAAATTACCGCTGTGAGTCGGAGAGTGCGCCATAAACCCATCATGATACTACATTGCTTGTCAAGTACGTTCTGCGGCGTTCCTATCACTCAATTCCAACGCGGCGTGGGGATCGCTATGCAGTCGTTCAAGCCTCCTTAGAGGACAAAATAAATAATTTTGTTTTAATTTGTGATTAATCGATGTGAGTGTGTATGTGCTGCAGTATCGCGGTTTGCGAACTCCACTACGAACCCGGCGCCCCGGGGTTCGATTCCCGCTCACGGGCAACATCATTTGAACCGGTCCTGGGCCTCCCCTAGGTCGACTCAGCCTCAAATGAGTACCTGTTGCGGTGTGTAAACATCGCCACTGGGGAGACAAAAGCGGCTGGGCGTGGTGCTGGCCACCCACTCCCTCGTGTGTCGAGCTGGCCTTCATAGGTGCTCCCTAATATCACTTGCCCCATCAGTCTATTAAGGCCATACGGAGGATCTTTGTCTTTGTTTGTGTGTGTGTATCCTTGCTACATAGGAGGGCAATTAATTTTGAAATGGGGGCATGGGAAATAAATTGACCCTTGTGTTCTACCCCTGACATGTAACAACACCCACCACCCCCCCTCCCCTACAATGTAGATGTAACCCTCTGTGACGAACGCTTGCCCCCCGTTTGATGTGGCAGCCACAACACATGTAAGGACCACTCCGCGGAATGTTCCATTTAAATTTTCTTTTTTCAAAGGGGGCGTTTAATATTGCCCGAAGGCCACGGACGCACGCCGCGTAAGGTATGGGTTTAATTGTGTTCAATCAGGCGATGATTATTAAATCCATTCTGGAGAATTTCATGAATGCCCTGCGGGTGCATATTTCAAAAAAGGGAAAGTCTAGAAGGATTCGTTTTGGTTCGATTTAACGAAGATTGATATAGTTACCTTAATATACAAAATTAAAAATACGTCGATTTTTGTCCCCACTAAACCAAATGATAAGAGCACACTGTGAATTAATTGTGGGATTTTTTTTCAGATAAATAACTTACGTAACTTGTTTTAATGTACAGCATTTTAAATAGTTCGTTTTTATTTCATTAAAACAGTCGATGGAACTTTACATTTCGAGACAGTACTTATAAAAAAAATAAAACAATGAGAATAATTAGCAGCCCTTTATCAATCCGCTGCTGGATGAAGGCCTCCCCATAGCGTGTTGGTCATCGCGGTTGCTTGATCGTACGTCACCACGCTGGTCAGTGTGGTTGCGGTGTGTCTAAGTCAACACCGCTCGTTAATGGATTCAGGGAGAACTCCCAGCTTCATTGTGAAGTGCACCACACTGCTCGTGTCATTGAGCGCTATTGAACAACATGCAAGGAATCACCGGCGGCATAGAACGCTCCCTTGGAAGGGGGACAGACTCGAGGAATTGGACCAGGGGCTGAGCGACGTTCAGGGAGTGCAAGCTGGACTATTCGCCGCGCCCATAGCTGTGGGTGATGTACGAATGAGTGGTGCCCGAGTGCGGAGTGGTGCCCGAGTGCGGAGTGGCACCCGCACGTGTCCGCTAGCTATTCTGGACCCAAGCTTAGTCTGTTAAATAACCACATGGTGAGAGCACGCGAATAAAAACGACGTCGCCCATACAAAGCTGTGTCGCGGCTGGTGGGGGGTTGGTGGGGGGGTTGGTGGGGGTGGGTGGTTGTGTGTGGGTGGGCGGGCGCGATGTATTGCGGGCTGCTGTGACGTCACGACGCCAGACCCCGTGACAATCGCGAGCCGATGATGATGACGATCGATGAATGAATCTGCAGCGCAGGGTATGGCGAGTGTCTGCTGGACGAGCCGGCGGCCCAGCGCTATGACCTGCCCCAGGTGTCGCCGGGCCACCTGTACAACGCCAACCGGCAGTGCGAGCTGGTGTTCGGGCCGGGCACCCAGGTGTGCCCGTACATGGTGAGTGGTGCTCCGATTAGCGCGACGGTCGGCCACAAACAATCCTTGCAAGTTCAACATACTGACAACACTATTTCAACTATTTTTCATTTTACCAGGTAAGGCCCGCTGAGCTGTGTAGCTCTTTTTTTCAGAAGGGACCTGTAATAGCTCAATGAAGTGGCTTCCATATCATGTGTACATTTATAGCAGCCAAACACTCCAAACACATGTCGATTCGAAATGTGGAGGGGAAAAACCGTAGGACCTGGAGAAAAATCCACGTGACCACGGGGAGAGAGAGAGATACCACGAACTCCAAATATACAGCAGGCATCAGAGTCAGGATCGGACCTATGACCTCCCTTATACCGGGCGAGATAGTTAACATCTCACCACTGCGGCGCTCCGACACGCCATTGACAGCCAAAACGATATTTACAAACACGGTGGGCACATCACGGCACTCGTTCCTGGGCTCCACCGCTAGTCAGCGGACGAGGAGCATTGCATCGGTTCAGAGGTCAAAATGGATCGCTCCGCTCATGAGACGTGCATGGAACTGCGCGTACGAGATTCAGTTATTTTATGGTGTGTGCAAATTGCACGCTCACGATCAATTTAGGCTGCTGCAGTGAGCAAACTGTACATGCGGGAGAGAAATAACAACCAGAGTTGCAATGTGGCAAGCACGGCAGTTAGCGCACTGTGCTGCAAAGCACGGTAACCTGAGTTTGATTTTCGGTCATGGCTAACATTAACGGCGTGTGATATCACAATCAGTCCTGGGTCGCCAACATACCCCCTTCACTAACCTGCATTGACATGCGTGGCGAAGTACGGTCAAAACAATCCCCCATAACCAACAGGGCATAGGGAGGCATTCATCCTGAGTTGGATTGACAAAGGGCTGTAAGTTTTAGTGATTTTAATTGCGATGGACACGGGAAATAGATACAAAAGAGACTAAATCCTTGAATGCAATTTGACCCCGAATGATGACAATGAATAGAGTCACTGGGGTCTTGTGGCGATCGCTTCAGGCAAAGAGAAGTGACAGCGACACCCAGGCAAGGCATCACTGTATCCGCCGCGAAAGCTCTGCATGCACGCATTGGACAGCTGGAATCACATTTGGAGAAGCATTCCCTCAATGCAATGCTATGTTTGGGTGGTGACGAGTTGTGCTCGCAATGCGCCATCGTACCACGTCTCACGCTGTCCGCTATACGACGGCGGTGCGCGTAGCACCACCGTGTTCACACACGCGGCACCAGGTATTCATTTGGAGGCTTCATTGTCCTAGGGGAGTCTCGGGACGGGGTTTTTGATACCACATGCGTGCCCCATGTTAGCCGTTGACTGGGAATAAAACTCGGCTCACTGGTTCTTCGTGCAGTGCAGTGCTAACCACAGTGCCCCCGCTCTGCATGTCCCTCACACACTCATGCAGACATCCACGTTTAACTGCACGCGTGCAATGCATACATACGCTGCCATGCTAACAAAGACACCTTACATACACTACCTCTAATTATAAAGCCCACGCAGCACAAGGGGAGGGCAATGAGAATCGAAACTGGAGAATGTAGCCTTTTGTTTGTCCAATGCACAGCTTTTCCTGGGACCGTGCATGATGAATGCCTTCCTGTTCAAATATAAAATTAAAGCAGCTCCTCTTTGATGGCAAGGTATGAGTTGCAGTGGCTTTAATTTATGAAATTGTCCATGCAACTTTGAAAGGATTTTTTTTTGTTGGGTTTGGGGGGGGGTTACTAAGCATTATTTTTGGTGGCCGAGCACGTAGGCCGCTTTATTTCCGCCCAATTAACCACAGCGGGTGAGTTGATTTTGGGGCACACATAGAGTGGCTTTGTGGAAAGCCGCCTCTTCAGTGTCTGATATTTAATTATCCGTTCGGTTGGAAGGACCCACGAGTTTGCCTTCTGTTATCTTCAAGCGAATATCTTGACTTATTTAGACGACGGTAGAGACCTTAAGTCTGTCGATAGATAACTTTAACTCTTAGTCACCGTAGATTACAAGTAAGAAGGAGCTTTCCGTTTTTGTGTGAACTCTTGGCCCGTGGTGTGTTTCACACGCAAAGTTTGCTACACTATGCTCACAGTTTGAATCTGGATTGGGTCACCCTGATGGGTGCGATATTGCGTGGTAGACTACACGGGCGTACCACGTGCTCTCACAAACATCTTGGGTGCGCACTCAAACGATACATCTGTGCATGTGCGTATATGTAATATGTGCGTAACAATGCACAACGCTGTACACTGTAAATATCAATGCACTTGAATGTACGTGCAAATATAATGCTTTGGAATTACGGACACTCACAGATATGAAATAAAAGCTGAAAATTGGCAACACAAGCATGGGAAAAATGCGTGCCCAGAATTACGTTGAGTGACAGAAAGAGGAGCATGCGGGTCAGGGTACAAATGTTGATAAGACTCGGAAAATAAAACAAGTGGGCTTGAGCAGGAGCCATCATCTAGAAGGGATGGTGGCCAGTAGCCGAGTCTGTTTATAGGATTGGCACTCATGTGCAAGAAGGGCGAGGTGGCTCGTGGCATCGCAGGACCAAATGCGATGGTGCCAATGCAAGGGAATACCCTTCACTCGACAATGGAGAGATAATGACAATGATGATTGTAACATTGTAGGGATCTTTTTTGATTTAAAGCTTTCGCGACTGCAGGGATTCATATTCTTGGTTCTTTCGGTGAAGTCACGTAGAAGGGAAACAATGAAATAATAAAAAAATAAAAAATCGTATTTTATTGTTTCCCTTCTACGTGATTTTACCGAAAGAACCAAGAATATTGTCGGGATCATGGTAATGTTTCCTGGACATCTGCGAAAAGAGCTTCATAGCTCATCGGATTCCTCCGGTATACATAAATACTCTCACAATGACAACTATCACAGTTGCGGTGCGTTGTTCCTCCTGCGCCTCGCCCGACCTCCTGACCGACGTCCCCTCTCCCCCTTCACCCCGTGCCCCTCGCCCACCATCGCCCACCTGCCACTGCCCCACCGCCGTCCCCCTGCCGCTGCGGGACGCGACGCCCGCCGACGCGTGCAGAGGCAGTGCAGGCGTCTCTGGTGCACGAGCGCCGAGGACGTGAACATGGGCTGTCGCACGCAGCACATGCCCCTGGCAGACGACACGGACTGCGGCCAGGGCATGGTAATAACCCCGCGCACACACCCCCACCCCCACCCCCACCTCCTCCTCCTCCTCTCCCCAGCCGGGCACTTGGCACGAGTTGTGCGAGTTCACCTTCATGCCCATGAGTTAGCAATTAGGAATGCCAATTTAAAGCAAGCAAGCAAGAAAAAAAAGAATCGGTGCACACATGAGTTGCTGTACTTTGTGTTTTAATCGCGGAGGGGACATTTAAAAAAAAATGTGGATGGTTTTTTTTTTATTTTCTCTGCTTTATTTTTTTTTTCATGTGGTCACGGATGTGTAGCGTTAAAAGGAAGCTAACAGGGGCACTGGGCTAAAGGGCAATGGATTTTGAGCTCCACTCTAGCGATGCTGCTGGGCAGTATGCGGGTAGTATGTGGGTGCGTGTACGTACGCAATGCATCCACCTGTGCGCGTTACGCATTGCAGTGGTGTACCCAATAGTGTGCATTGTTGTCGATGTTGTTGCGGTGGACTAATGAGACATCACCATTCTCGAATCGCAGTTCCGGACTGTTTATAAGAGTAGGCACGTCAAAACCGGTGCACAGAGCCTGCATGCATTCAATCGACGCTGTTCATGTGATGCACTCCCAGACGGCCGAGAGTGCGGCTTATGGGTTGGGTAAGAAAAACTTGTTCATGATCCACGTGCAAAAAAAAAGACACGCACGCGCGTGCAGGGAGCATGCTGTCTGCTTGTTTACGCTGTTCACGTGCGGATTGGGATTGGACGGTGGCGCAGTTGCCATCGCGCTGCATTGTGAGCCCGGCGAGCTGAGTTTGATACCTGGCCACGGCAGCGAGTGATACCTCTGAAGCGGTTTTCTCGGCCCCCCACGTCCCGAGCGGAAAGAGCACGTGAGGATAAAAGGGGATGGGATGAGGTGAGCGGGGAGGCTCGTTCGTCTCATTTCGCTCCTGCGTCTGCCCGGCTGTCGGAAGAATGCGGCCATCGAAGTTCGCGACAGCGCAGCGCTTTTAAAAGGATGCGGCGCATTTCTAAATTTATGCCGCGAGTGCTGCCGGGCCGCTGAGCTCGGGGTCATGCTATTTGGCCGTAACGTTGGGACAGGCTGACCCGCTTATCCGCGTTGTGTTATGAGATCTGCGGACAGCTGCTTTAATGCGCACGGGCGCACACGTCATCGCACCATGACAGAACAACAGGTGCCTGCCAATGTGCACTGAAAGAAAAGCTCAGTTGTAGGTAGGCCATCGGTCTTAGGACTCAAGCCTTTATTGGCATCAGTCCGAGGTGGCTTTAATTAATTAAATGCGTACAATGCACGGAGCGGAACAAATACGGAGGTTGAGAATCTGACCCGAGGTCAACTTAGCTGCTCAAATCTTTGGAGTTGATTAAGTGGGTAGTGTACCTTTCTGTGGGAGTTCGACAGCAGTTGTACTATGGAGTAACGCACCTCTAATTAGGACGGTTGGCTACGTACGGTGCGAAAGAAGTTCAACATTGTGTACATCCATACATAACGCGTTCCTACCCTAAAGGAATGTGGAATTTCCAGAACTGACTCAAGGGCCGTTGACAAGACTTGACCACTCCCCCATGTGCATTTGAACTGTAACCGATGTTTGTCTGTTTGATACGTACAGTGAGGGAAAAAAGTATTTGATTCCCTGCTGATTTTGTACGTTTGCCCACTGACAAAGAAATGATAAGTTTATAATTTGAATGGTAGGTTTATTTGAACAGTGAGAGACAGAATAACAACAACAAAATCCAGAAAAACGCATGTCAATTATGTTATAAATTGATTGGCATTTTAAGGAGGGAAATAAGTATTTTACCTCTCTGCAAAACATGACTTAGTATTTGATCATTGCAACTCCACGAAGTGAGATCTTGCATGGATCCCCAGGCCGAGGGAGATTGACAGTTCTTTTGTGTTTCTTCCATTTGCGAGTAATCGCACCAACTGTTGTCACCTTCTCACCAAGCTGCTTGGCAATGGTCTTGCAGCCCATTCCAGCCTTGTGTAGGTCTACAATCTTGTCCCTGACATCCTTGGAGAGCTCTTTGGTCTTGGCCATGGTAGAGAGTTTGGAATCTGATTTATTGATTGCCTCTGTGGACAGGTATCTTTTATATAGGTAACAAGCTGAGATTAGGAGCACTCCCTTAACGAGCGTGCTCCTAATCTCAGCTCGTTACCTGTATAAAAGACACCTGGGAGCAAGAAATCTTTCTGATTGAGAGGGGGTCAAATACTTATTTCCCTCATTAAAATGCAAATCAATTTAGAACATTTTTGGCATGCGTTTTTTCTGGATTTTGTTGTTGTTATTCTGACTCTCACTGTTCAAATAAATTTACCATTAAAATTATAAACTGATCATTTCTTTGTCAGTGGGAAAACGTACAAAATCAGCAGGGGATCAAATACTTTTTTTCCCTCACTGTATGTGTACACTCTCTCAATAGGCACGCAAATGCCTTTTGCAGATTTTGGCGTTTACATGAGTTTTTCAATATTTTTTCATGGCTTTGCATAACAGAAGCGCTCATTCATCTGACAAATCATTGGGAATGTGCTGACTTGTTTACAAAGTGAGATCACTTTCAGAAGCATTACGTTAACAATCTTTAGGCTCCTTCCTTAATACGATGATGATGGTTGTGATGCTGATGGAAATATTTATACTGGTAGGAACGAAGTTGTAAACTGAGTGTACCAGCCTGCAATAGATTAATGTGTCCGTCCGTCCATCCCCTTTCAATACTTTAACGAAGTGAAATCTCGTGCTGTTGGGTGTAAAAATTCCAATGTTCCTACCAGCCCACCCTGCAGGGACCTGTTATGAGAAACAGCAACACAATTTAAGAGTCTTAATGTCTACGTGTACATTTACATATTTTATAATGACGCAGGCTGTTGAACAAAGATCGTGATATTAATAATTTAATTTGCCTCTGTTGCAGTCTGCATGCGATAAGCACCATTTAACGGATGAAGCAACACAGTTGAGCTCGTGCAGTTACGTACTGAGGCTGCGTGTCCTCGGCTATCCGTCAATAACGAGACATCACTGTCATCAGTAGGCCTGGGTCAATCCACTGATTCAAGCAAGCCTGACTCTGCTGATGAGACACTCTGTGTGTCGACACCGCTCCAGAGGTTGCTTGTCTTGAATCAATGCTGCTGAAATGCGGCACTTCCAGAAGGCCGTGCGGCTGATGGGTTGTGTCAGAAATATTTGAAATGTTTTCATTTGCTGTAATTCCGTTCCTGTGGAAAAGACCATATGTATCCTCATCATCATTATTACCAGCCATGGTCAATCCACTGCTGGATAAAGGTCTCCCCAATCTGCCACCCATCTATCATCATTTTGCAATGTAATCATACCATACGTATATTCTATGTAACATGTCAATGCATAACAACTAACGTGTGTACGCTGAGCTTCTTTCGCACCATACGTGCCCAACCGTGCTCATCGGAGGTACAGGGGAAGGACAACAAACTGAACACGAAGAGTAGTTCTAAAGAAATGATGTTACAGTTATACTAAAGCTATTTTATGTGTATTTATTGTACCGTACCAGACATGTTTGCTCAGGAAGCTTCACTGGGTCTCGTGACTCTTTTTTAGGAGGGTGTTGCCAAGTATTTTTGCATGAGCATGGTGGGTGGGGGGCGGGGGCTGTGATTGCCGTGTTCCTGCTGAGTAAATTATAGAGGGTGTCTGCACGATACTCACAGTGCGCTCCTCAAACTAATCCTCCCACTCCGTGAAACTGCGGATATAACTCCCACACTCTTGGAGCTAGAAGCTGCCAGGAGCTCACTGACTCTGGAGTAGATTTTGGGTTATTTATTTGCATTCACTACACTAACTAAAAACATAATTCCCAAACAGATTGGGTAACCCATCTTGGATTGGAAACGTGCCCGTGGAACTGTAAGCCACCATCGTGCAACTAAAACTCGGTTTTGCTAAACTTGGAAGACTTCCAGCCAATGTACTCATGGCAGTGCTGAAATCTGCGCATGCGAATATTTGTACTGGACATCCTGTGTGAAAACGAGCTTCATAGCTCATCGTATTACTCCAGGATAACTCATGTGTACATGTGTGGGGAGTGGTGGTGGGATGGTTAGCACACTGAGCTATAAAACCGATAACCTGAGTTAGATTTCCAGCCATGGCTATCATCAGTAGTGAGTGATGTCTCAGACAGTCCTGGGCCTCCCATAGTTTTACTGAACTAGAAATGACTACCTGGTGTGGTGTGTAACCGTTAATGCTGGGGACGCGAAGGCAATTTGCATAACGGAGGCTGGACATGTCACCCACTTGTACATTATGAGACCTTTGCCAGAAACAAGATATAGGAATAGGTTTTACCCTTTTAACTGGCACAAAAACTGACACCTTTATTCAAGGCATCATGTTTGCAATGACCACAACACAAGCAGTCAAAATGCAAACAAAAAAGACAACTCTGATAATAATATGCACTGTCCTTGAATTTGATTGGTCCACACCCGAGACTAGGCTCTAAGAAAAGCTGTCTCGGGTGTGGACCAATCAAATTCAAGGACAGTGCATATTATTATCAGAGTTGTCTTTTTTGTTTGCATTTTGACTGCTTGTGTTGTGGTCATTGCAAACATGATGCCTTGAATAAAGGTGTCAGTTTTTGTGCCAGTTAAAAGGGTAAAACCTATTCCTATGTCACCCACTTGTTTGACATTTAGGTCTTAATTAGTACTGGAAGAAATGGGAGTACCAACACTTTACCCCGCCATATTCAAACTGCCAAACGACTGTCTGTGCTGTATCCATTTATACGGCGGGGTTGACAGAGGCGGGAGGGGGCATTGAGAAGCTCGTACCGTTGTTTCAACCGCCGCAGCCAGAGGCCGAATTGAGTTGGTGACCCCTGGATCGCAAGGCCGGTGTGCTGCTACCCATTGCACCATGGCAGGCGGCATCCCCACAAATACCGGCATCTCCTCGTGATACTTCGACGTGCAGAGAATCAACAAACGACATTCTCGCAAACGGATGATATGATACGTTTGCAACGATTAGCTTAACACGTGGGTTTCAGATGTTTGTGGATTTGGAGGTTCTTGCGGCGTATATGTGGCCAGATCGTTACGTGGCCTCCACTAAAATCAAACTATAAATTTGCAAAGCGTCACAGATTGTGTTTGTGTCTGTTAGCGAGTGCGCACGCCGCGCTACGAACCCGTCGACCCGAGGTCAATTCCCGCTCACGACCGACGCCAGGGACGATTATCTGAACCAGTTCTGCGTCTCGCCTAGATCGGCTCAGTCTGAAACATTAGCACCTGGTGCGATGTGTAAACATCATCACTGGAGAGACAAAGGCGGTCGGACGTGGTGCTGGCCGCCCACCCCCTCGTGTGCTGCTCCGGCCTTCACAGGTGCTACTCGCCAACACATACCTGTCAACCCCTTATCAGTGCCTATCTTATTACAGACCAATTCAGACCTTATTGGTCACCCCGTGCCCCTTATAAATCTCAACGTTCATCCTACAAAGTCCCATCACAAGGGAGAAACACAAACAAATAGACATTGATTTTTTGGCCCGTATTGAAACGGCTGTACGCCGTAGGGACGCGAAAACTATTTTTCCCTGTACAAGAATACGGGGGTATAAACCATACGGGTCGACACGGTATGCCAACAGCACTTGTCCCGACGGTCTGTCAAAGCTATAATGGGGATCTTTGTCTTCTTCGGGGACCGTGCGTGCCCTCCAGGTGTGCCGGCAGGGCCTGTGCGTGGTGCGCGAGCTGGACGACCGTGCCGTGGACGGAGAGTGGGGCTCCTGGGGACCGTTTGGGCCCTGCTCGCGCTCTTGCGGGGGCGGCATCCGCCAGGCGGCAAGGGAGTGCTCCCATCCAGAGTAAGCCCCCCCCACCCCCCCAGGACGCTACTACACACACAAAGACAAAGATTCCCCGTATAGCCTGTAACAGATTGTAGGGACGAGTGCTGTTAGCGAGCACATATGAAGGTGCTCGCTAACAGTGGCGATGTTCACACATCGCACCAGGTCCTCATTTGAGGCTGAGTCGACCTAGGGGAGGCCCAGGACCGCTATGGTACTCACACAGCACACACACACACGTATTAATAATACCTTCATTTTATATAGCGCCATTCATGCCAATAGCATTGCGGTACGTATTGTTGCCGAATTAGGAAATTAAATTTAAATTAAATTTAAATTATATTTCCTAATTGGATGAACCCGCTTCGCAACGTTTGCACCCGACCTGCGCAGCGACTGCAGACTCTACTCAAACGTGAAGCAGAGTGCCCTCATGTAGCCTTGCGCTACGAGAATGGCACAGATACCACGTGGACTAACGATTTGATTTGTTTTGACTGCCGATTAAAATACAGGGCCCTGTTTGCTGCTGACATTGCTGCTGCTGCTACTATTGTTGCTGCTGCTGCTTCTGTTGCTTGCTTCAGACCGAAGAACGGGGGCCGCTACTGCGTGGGTCGGAGGCTGCGTTTCCGCTCGTGCAGCACGGAGCTGTGCCCGCGCGGGCGCAGGGACTTTCGCGAGGAGCAGTGCGGCGAGTTCAACGGGCGGCACTTCAACATCAAGGGCCTCTCGCCCACCGTGCACTGGGTGCCCAAGTACAGCGGCAGTGAGTGCCGCCCCACTGCGGCGTCGTGCGTTCTGTTTTTGGGGGGGGGGGGCGTGCACGTCTCCGTGCTTACGCTCGTTGTGTGGGCGTGTGTACATGTGTCTGCCCAATGGAACATCTTCGCCGGTTAGAAACATTCAGGGCTGGCCTGCCTGCGATCCATCCCGGGTTTAACCAGGCTGGATTGTGTGAGGAGCTCACAAATCCTTGAAAGGTCTGGACGCATTCCATCGGTGAGCTCCTCCCGCAGGCGAGGCTGCGTTGGCTGGGTCATGTAGCCCGCATGCCCAGCCACTGCATGCCCAGCCACCGCACGCCCAGCCACCGCATGCCCAAGCAGCTTTTGCTCAGCCTGATAGAGAGGGCTAAACGGGTGCGGCACAGGCTGGATGAGAGGTGTAATGGTGTGGCATGAGAGGATATGGAGCTGAGTGGTCTTGCCAATGAATGGTACCAGCGGAGTCAAGATTCGCCTCTGTGGAGGAGGCTCGTGAGGGGCTGGGAGGGTGCAGTTGGGGGCAGTCGCCTTCCAGCAAGAACAGAGGGCAGAGGAGCGACACTCACAACAACGAGTGGAGCGCCAGACGACTAAAACACAGCAATTTGGCACAGTAGGGGGCACAGGTGGTGCATCGGCCAGCCATCTTAGTCGGTGAACCCATGGCACCATTCTCTGTCCCGTGACTACCTGCCAGCGAGCATTCGACACTTCACGTGGCCCTAGAGTGCACATAGCCTGGCACAAGGACCACCATTTAGTGGTGAATAGTGGTTGTTGTTGTGTGTGTGTGTGAGCTAGCACCATGCGCTCCTGCAGCCTGTCAAGGCTACACAGGAGATCTTTGTCTTTGGAGTAGTAGTGCAATGGTTAGTGTGCTGCGCTACGAACCCAGCGACTCGAGTTTCATTCCCGCTCACGGTCAACAATACCAGTGACGAGATTACCTGAATTGTTCCTGGGCATTCTCTAGGTTGACTCAGCCTGAAATGAGTCCCTTGTGCGATGTGTAAATGTTGCCACTTGGGAGAGAAAGGCGGCCGGGCGTGGTGCTGGGCACACCATCCCTTCGTGTGCCATTCTGGCCATAGTTTGGAATTCCCTAACTACACTACCCCCAAATGCCTATAGAGGCTACACAAGGGATATCTGGCTTTGACGGCGATATGGGAGTCTGTATGTATATGTGTATATGGGTGTTTCTACGTGCATATGGGTGTCTTTGTGCCTTGGTGGTGGCTGTTTATTTGTGTGTGTTCATGTACTTGTGTCTGGATATCTACATGTTTACTCTATATTGTAGCACATTGGGAAACAATGACATTTTGTTCATAGCACGGTACTGCAATGCCAGTAACGATTTTTTTTATTGTGATTGCTCACACCACCACCACCACCACATTACATGTATCCAAACCTGGCCTGGGCCTCTCTGAGCTTGACCTGGCATGCATTTGGCACGCAGTGGCACTGTGGTTAGTACACTGCACTGTGATCCCAGCCATGTGGGTTTGATTTCCAGGCAGGGATAAAATCAGTGGCAAGTGGTATCTGAACATGTGCTGAGCCTCTACCAGGTTACTTAAGCCTTGACTAAGTATTTGGTGCCACGTGCAAAAAGCATCACTGGCTAAACAAAGTTAGCCAGATATGGTGGTGCCAGACATGCCAATCCCTCATGCAACAACATTCTAGTCTTTTTTTTGTTTCTTATAAAATATTGTTTATCATTCCCCCCTCCTCTCCCCCATTTTATCTCCATTGTATTATGGTTGCCATGTTATGGAGTGAAAACAAATATCTCATTGGGTCCCTCGCAAAGCAGCGCAATCCTCCGTGTTAGAGAACAGCCTGTGGATGTAGTTATTACAGAGCTATATCTCAGTAGAGATCCCTTCCAGTGACAGTGAAACCGATATTATGTTTCAATTCTCGGTGCGGAAATGTAGCCAAATTTATCATCCTCAAAATATTTCAGAAGCCGGTTTGAGCCCAGGCTGCTACCTAGGCCCAGGCACAGGGTGACAGCAGTTTGAAAAATATTTATTCAAATATTTCACGTGGCAAATCCCTTGAGATGAAATATCTCATTCTCAAGGTTATCCAGGGTGCTGATTTATCCATATGTACATAGCAAACACATAATGCCACGTACACAAGAATCTACATCTATAACTTATAGAGTATGACACAACTCATACATAAATATACAAACATACAAACAATTGCAAGACAAATTACGTAGTTCACACTGCAGGCTCATGCAGAGTGCTCCCAAGCCGCAACAGCTACAAGTTTTGTGCAAGCATATTTTAATTAAAGATTGATTAAAAAAATAAAACAAGTTGAGACTGGAGTCGCACGTGTTGGTGCATCTGAGATAATCTGTCGTGATCCAACCTCTGAGCCAACCGGACCACCTCTGTTCCATGCCACACGTAAGCCGGCTCCTCATTAAAATCTGTGATCCCGAGCCAGCTCTCCGTGTTGCCGCACGTCGTGTGGTGCCACCCCTGCCCCCCCCCTCTACTGCCACCCGCCGCCGTCGGCAGTCCTCATGAAGGATCGCTGCAAGCTGTTCTGCCGAGCGGCCGGCTCCACGGTGTACTACCAGCTGAAGGAGCGCGTGGTCGACGGGACTCCTTGCGGCCCTGACTCCAGCGACATCTGCGTGCAGGGGCTGTGCAGGGTGAGGCATCCCCCCCCCCCCCACCCCCCTTTGTCCCGCTACAGCGCTGATCAACTCGCCACACCCTGGGTGGGGAGCATAGGAAATCTCAAAGGGGGGGGGGGGGGGGCTGCGGAACGTGACACTATTAATGTGAAAAGAAATTAAACTTGAGTGCTCAGCGTGAGACGGAGTAAGAACCGACGCGATATGCTTCCGTCTGTCATCGTTCTGAACTGCTTCTCAATCCGTGCATCTACGAGGCAGTGGCCGCACGTCGTTAGGGACCCGTGGGGCTGATAGGCCTGGTGGCCCGGGTGGGGCCTGGTGGGGCCCGGTAGGCCTGGAGGGCCCAGTCGGGTCCGGTGGGACCCGGTGGGGCATTTGGTGTGGAGAAAATGTGTCAACGTTGTCAGCACGGGGCGGGTGGGTGCTGGTAAATGGATCAGTGTTGGTGCCACCTGCTCCTGCAGCCTTTGTCACGTTCAAGAGCCATTTAAAGTCCCCCGTTGCTTCGGGCAGCACTTTCGACGCTTACGCGGCTCTCGCTGTCATTGCAGAACTTTTTTTTTTGGCGCTCGCTTTACCGCATTGCTAGACACGCCGTGTAACAAGTGTGCGTGCGAGCGTGCCTTCGCTATCAAATGGAGCACGCCCCCGCTACCCCCCCATCCCCCTCTTTATATTTGAGGAGAGCCAGCGATTGATCTTCGTTCGGCGGTCTTGCTTTGTTTTGAGAAGGGGCACTCCGGCAACGAAAGCACGGGAAACTCCCCCCTCGGTTGGAAAAAAAAGTACAAAAAAAAAGAATAAAATATCGAAGAGACGTAAAAAAAACGTAGGGTATTACGTGCATTCAATTTCCAAAACAGTGCGCGTGAGAACCAAGCGTTTACAAGTTGTCCTCTGTCGCGCGCGAGTTTCATGTTCGCACCACAGGGTGCTCTGACACCAGGTGAGACTCAGCCGTCCGCTCACGAGACGGCTGTAACCCCCAGATGCCGTGAGCTGTGGGTGGCGGCACGACACGCGGGCCGACGGTTTCACTCTTTGATAGCGGCATTCCCCGCTCGCTCCATTATCACGCGCGGCGGCGCTGGGCTGCGGGAACGAGGAGGGGGGGGGGGGGCGGTGATGGCGTGACGGTTAAGCCATCCACGCCGGTAGCCAAGCGCTTCGCTGGATTCGGCGCGCGGACGTGGGACGAGGCTGGTACCGTCGCCCCGCCTCCCCTGCCCCCTCACCGTCAGAGGAATGTGGAACTTCCACGACGAGCTCAGAGCTCAGGGTCACCGGCAGCGGTGAGAAAAGGCCGGTGCTCGCTTGAACGCAGGGACGGTTAGCCACCTTGCTTTCTCTTCTCATTCAATTTCACTTCCAGCCTTGAAGGAGGCCGCTGAGTCCATTGGCCACAAGCAGTGGGGGGGGGGGGGGAGGGGGGGGGGGTTGGGAGGGTGCCTGGATGGGGGGGGGGGAGCCCCCCTAATGTCTCACGCTGAAGACTCAGTCCCCCATCTAAATTCTTGCAGTGTTGGCATTATATTTATTAACATATAGAATGCGAGATCTAGAGCAGCATGCGTGTTATAAAAATGCGAATCGTTTTACGGTGAAACATTCACTTAAGGTTCGTTTAACGTTGAGTGTCTCGGGCCCACCCCTTAGCTTTTGGGTTTTTTGTATGCATGCACATTGAACGTCTTTCGCACCGTACGTAGCCAACCGTGCTCATCGGAGGTGCGCCGTGCCTGCCCCACCCCCCCCCACCACCACAGCAAGCCGGCTGCGACCACATCCTCAACTCGAGGGCAAAGCGAGACAAGTGCGGGGTGTGCGGGGGCGACAACTCGTCGTGCCGCACCGTGAGCGGGACGTTCCACAGCGTGCAGTACGGTACGCGGCGCCCCTCAAGCAGGGCAAGGCGGTCGCCCTCACCGCCGATTGCTCTCCCCGGCCTTTCGCATTTTGGCGAGATGTTTAACCGCATCGCCCGGTGTACGGGAGGTCGTGGGTGCGATGCCGAGCCCCTGACGCCTGTCCATGAGGTCGCATCCCAGACAACAATCCCAGCCGTTGCTGGTTTGTTAGGAATCCCTAACAGATCAGCGTGGAATGACCACGCTTTGCATCGACCCATGGCATTTTCTCAGAATTCGTGGATAGCGCGGGCAGTAGGAAACACGTTAAAATGTCGCAGGGAAATGATTAAATATGCTTTTCGTCAACTACTGGCTTGCAAGTAAAGCTCGCGACATCCCTTCTAGCCTCAATCCTGCACCACCACTACCTCTGTCCACCCAGCATTGTAAATGGGTACAGCATAGCCAGGTATTAGATCGGCAAGGCCACGTGTCGTGGAGGTAAGTGTAGGCACTGTGTATGAATGTACAATATATATTAAAATATTAATGTCTCTCAATACATACGTATGTACAGTAGTTATAAATGTGCCTATGATCAAATCACCGGCAAACTACTTCCTTGACATTTCAGAAGCAAAGTAGGGTTTAGCCAGATAGTAATTCGATAGCTGGACACCATGCGTGCCAGCTTGGGCTACGTGGTGTTCTGCAGATGGCAGTGCTGCAAATCCCATAGTTGCACCGTACTTCTATGCTCCGACATTCATACTTCCCGCCTTCACCAACTCGCACTGTTCATGGTGCTCAAGTAGCCAGTGGATTGATAAAATGCCTGTGAGTGGAACACACATGTGGACGTAATTGTATATGCGCGTGTGCGTGCATGTGTGTGTGCGTGTGTGTTACACCACCATCCAGGCTACAACACAGTGGTCAGGATCCCAGCTGGAGCCACCAGCATCGATGTCCTGCAGCGCAGCTTCTCGGGGAAACCTGAGGATGACAACTACCTGGGTGAGAGGCTACGATCAGAGAGCAGGCGGGCGAGAGGGCGAGCAGGCAGGCGGGTGGGCTGGCGGACAGACAGCTGAGTCTATTACGTGTGGGCGCATGGACGGATGGATTGGATGTGTGAGAGTACAGGCAGGCGGATCGGTGGGTGCGTGGACGGATGTGTGGATGAATGGGCTGCCGTGTTTGCCTGCACGTGTGTGCGCCCGTTGGGCTGTTTATGCGCCCGTGTACTCTGATACAATGTCATTGAGGTACCTTTCATCCAACACTGTCGTTTAGCGGGAGGGTGGCCGTTAAGTGGCTTGACTGAGCAAGTTGGAGAGTGACGGAGAGATAGGTGGTCAAGTTCAGAGTTAAGTCTATAGTGGTGGAGATGCATTGTGAGAATGAGTCCGGATAGGATCCCTTACTTGGTGATCAACACAGGTGGAAGGGAATAGGAGTAGGGGAAGACAGCGAGCATCTGTGAAGGCCGGCACGGCACACACACTCACTTTCGTATACATATGCACGGACAGAATTTGCGGAAACACCCAAAATGCTCCACTCCAGCGCCCACTTACGTTCAAGACACACGTAGATATTCATGCAGAATGGTGGGAGGTTGATGCAATCTTGATTCCCCCGTTACAAGTGTGGCGAGTTGTGGAACATCGCTGTAGTCACTTCACACGCTGCATTGTAAGCGAGTCGTGATCGACATTCCGAAGCGTCTTTATTCGGCTGCATTAGCAGCGACGCGCCGATCTTTGCCTTTGTCATTTCCTGCACTGGACTGCACCGTGACATTTGCAGACACTGTGGGCGCAGAAAGCGTCCCCCAGTGTCGTTCGCCAGTTCGACCGCAAGAATGTTCTGAAGGGAGCGAGTTTCCGGCGTTCATTGGAAGTAGGTCACAAACTGCCTCTGATCCAATCATTTGGGAATTTTTTTTTTCCCCCGCTTGGGAAATTTTGAAATTTCGTGCACTCTGACCGTTTGGCCGCAAGGGGACTGAGCCGGGACCGCCAGCCTCCTTTCCGAACGAGCGAGAGAGAAGGAAATAAGTTGGCGAAAAATAAAAAAATAAACGTGTAAGTGCAGTGTGCTCTATCCTGCCCGCTCTTCTTAGTAGCTTGTTTTTTTCCCAAGCAAAACATCACCAACCTCCCGCCGCCGCCCCCACTAACCCCCCCCCATCCCCAATTCCCCCCCCCCCCCTCCTCCTTTTCAAAATAAGCGGAGCAAAACAAAGCAATCCTACGTAACCTTACACGCTGATCTTCAAGATTTGGCAAGCATCGTGAAAACACCTCCCATGCGCTCTTCTTGCTGAATCAAAGCGGGGGCCCTGAAAGCAATTGAATTGACTCTAAATGAGTGCAAGATAATAAAGGGGGCAGCGGGAAAAAGGAGAGGCAGAAAGGAAAGCTTTGCGGGGCTTTAATTTCTCTGAGGCTTAATGTGATTACGGAAAGGAGTGTTTTGTAATGTGCCAGTCAGGGCGCATGTCCAAGGTTCTGCTGAGAAAAGGAGCAGTTTTATTTGTAAGCAATCTGATAGCATTGGCCGATTATGCACTCTGAATGCCCCCGCTGGTTAGCGAGTCCGTAGCCGAGTGCTGGGGAATGGATGCGGGATGAGAGGTGTCTGTGGGGGGGGGGGGGGAGGATTTTTAGCCACGACGGAACTCTTGATTTAATTGTCGTTTATGAATGGCGCATTCAACGGTAGCCAAATAGGCTCCACAATTCGTTGAGAAATTTTGCTTCGAAAAAAAAAGTTTAAGCTGTACGTTACTTGCCCGTCGCCATACTCCACGTGGCACAACCGGGAAAACTTGCACGGTAAAACTTTTTTTCATTTGTTTTCATACGAAGGCTTTCACGAGCAACGTTATGGTTCGTAATGAGTTACCTTTGGGTCAGATCGTACGGGTGTAATTACAATTCGCAGCCAATCAAGTCAGGGTGTCACGTCGCGGGCAAACGTGCCTATTGGTTCGGTTTCTCAGCAAAATCCGGAGCGCTTTGGAAAAGCGAGCAGTATTGTGGCACATGTTTTTATTCACGACCTTTCCCTGGAGATTAGGGCCAGCATCGTCAGGTGTTAACAAAGGCTCAGCTAAAACTGCAGTCCAGTGGAACATTTGCATAGTCCCTTCATGAATGCCTGTGAGTATTAATGTAACCACACAATGCAAGTTAAATTGCATTGTGGACTTTACACACATGCGAGAGAGTGAAACCTCGGTTTCGTGTTTTCAGAGGTGAGGAGGGGGGCAGTGGATATCAGCGGAATTAAATGTTCGATGTGGGAAAACGTTAAACCAGGGGGCATCAACCCTAATCCGGTGGATTTGGGACTTTAAAATGGGATGTTGGATAATGGGAAAAGCACAAAGCAGAACAGTTATAGCGAAGCCTTATGAAACACGTCAGAGGCTATATTGTGTGATGGGTTGGTTAAATAAATGTATATGAATGCGCCTAACCTGGCACAAGGGCTATGGTTACGTGACCGCCACTTAGTGGCAAATTGCGGCTGCTGTAGTTGATGTTGTCATACATATCGAAGGTTAAGGTGCAGGCCTGCAAGTGCCCGCTAATGCCACTGCTGGCGGAAGAGACTCCACTCGAGGGAGCTCTAGAGAGCTATTTTGGCCTTCTCTTCCACACTGGCCTGAGGTGTTGCAGATAGGTGGTAGTACCCACGCTTTACCCCACCACATACGACCTGCGGATCGACTGGACGTGGTGAACCCATTGATACTGCCGGGTGGACAGAGGTGGTGTCCGGTGTTTAAGAGACGCGCCCTCTGCTTCCACTGCCACATCACGAGATTGAATTGGAGTTACATGCGGACTGCTAGTCCAGTTTGTTGACCATTGCTCCAAGGCAGTGTTCCTGTACAGATATATTTTGGGTATGACGTGGAAATTATGCGACAAATCCACAAGGGTCTGTTTCACTGCAGAAAATTACATTCACGCGTGTACACGTATGTTGAACTTCTTTCGCACCCTACGTAGCCAACCGTGGTAATGAGAGGTGCGGGGGTCTCACAGCGAACTAAACCCCAAAAAAGCAGTTCTAAAGAGATTCGTTTTCATTCTAGATCATTTCAAAAGCGCATAGGTCTCCAGCGGCATCCTCATATCAGAAGGAAGGGCCTTGCAGGCGGCCGCAGAAGCGCATCTGAAAGCGCGCGCTGCGGTTGACCGTCTCTGTCCGTTGGCCAGCCAAAACCCTCTGTGGATCCCCCGAAACAATTCTAATCAGCAGAATTTAATTAGCCTGTTCTCACTCCGCTGACTGTCTCAGAAGGTCAACATCAGTGCTCCGTATGAATATTCGAGTGTGATCCACCCGAACTTGCCTTCACCCCCACTGTGCATCTCCGTCAAGCGGCCTGGATTCTTGCTAAAATGCCCAAAAAAAAAAAACCCCACCAGAGCAATTTGGCTCGCGTTTCGGAATTCCGCGACCAAACTTAACGACGCAATATTTTATTGCCACTGAGCGGTGAATGCGCGCGTGTGTGTGTGCGCGCGTGTGTGTGTGCGTGTGTGTGCGCGTGTGTGTGTGCGTGTGTGTGTGTGCGTGTGTGTGTGTGCGCGTGTGTGTGCAGTCATCGCTAACGCACATAATCCCCAGTACCTGGCACTCACTCTCACTGATAGCCATCGCAGTGCACGGTGGAATGTATTGCGTTATTTCCACTGTAATCTGCTTTGATTGCTTGCGAACAACGAGGCCCTTATTTTTTTGGATCCCTCAGCACAAGTCCAACGACTGGGATTGTCCCATTTGTTAATGAGATATTTTTTTTCGTTGTTGTCTAAAGGGATTTTCATTTTGTTTTTATTACATAGGAGGCTTTGAACTCTGGCAAGTCGTGGCATGTACAGAAATTTCCCCATTAGCTCAGAATTATTATGATTATCTGCAGTTCATTATCGACAGCCTCCCTAAGCCCTTTGCACGCCTGCTTATTTTCCCAAGTGAGACTGTGCGCCGTTCTTGGACCTCGATGGCTAATTCGGCTGACGCGGAGATTTCTCAGCGATTGTCACGCCTTTATTACGAGAGTGTAATCGCTCAGTTGTTGCAATCTCATGCCCCTCTGGGCTGGAATACCAACCTCTGTGGAACCTTGAGCTAAAAATGATGATGATGATGATAATGGCTTTTTTTCTTTCACTCTAATCGTGGGTGCAAAATCACTCCAACTGAAAACTGCCGCAGTTTATTTGTTGTAACAGGCAGGTTTTTGGTTTGTTCTACGAAAAGTGCAAGCCTGGTTGCCTGAATATATTGTATATACAGTAATTTCCCTACTTTATCCATATGTATGTATCATGTTGAACTTCTTTCGCACCACACGCAGCCAACCGTGCTAATCGGACGTGCGGAGTCTTTCGCGGTTACACTTTCTGCAGTCTTGGCATATGTGCCAAGAGCGGTAAGGAAGTCGATTTGTCCCGACGTCTGGTGGTATTGCGTTGAACTTAACGACAGAGCACGGGCCCAGGTGCGTAAGACTCAGGCCGAGTGAGAAAATATATCCGGGGTCGGTCTGCGGAAAAGCTGGGCAACCCCCCCCCCCCCCCCCCCCGTGGCGTACGAGCCTCTCGAAGGGAGGCTTTACGAACGCCAATCGCTTTGCCTCGGCACTTCTTTTGCCCCGCCGTCCGCAGCGCTGACCGGGGCGCAGGGCGACTTCCTGCTGAACGGGAACTTCGTGGTGAGCATGTTCAAGCGCGAGGTCAAGGTGGGCGTGGCCGTGCTCGAGTACAGCGGCTCGGACCAAGCGACGGAGCGCATCAACTGCACCGACCGCATCCCCGAGGATGTCGTGCTGCAGGCAAGCCAGGCCTTCCGCCCGACCGCCCGTCCCAGTCCCACGAGGTCCAGCGAGACGTAACGTCATCTCGACAGCCTCGCGCTTGATTAAACTCATCATAATCCTCATCGCCATCACGATCGATGGGGCAGATATCTCGTTGGTGTCCACTGCACATTTCGTAATTTGTTTACACTTTCCTCTGTCCTTGTGCCAATTTGCTCAGGTAGCGCACATCTTTCTGGTACCAATCTCTTATGTCCTCTCTTTCCAGTTACTTCATTTTTTCGAACAACGAACTAAACTATTGAACTATTTAAACGAAACTAAAACTTTTTATTTCAACATTGTTTTTTTATTTTATTTTACCAGGTAAGGCCCACAGCGCTATTAGCTTCTTATTCAGAAGCGACCTGGACCACAAATGATAGCTCAACTTTGTGACTTATCATGTGGAAATGTATAGCAGCCAAATACTCTAATTGCACCTTGATTCTAATTGTGGAGGAAAAAACCTGAGGACCCGGTGAAAATTCTACGCGACCACAGGGAGAACATGCAGCAGACGTCAAGGTTGGGATCAAACCCGCGACCTCCTGTATACCAGGCGAGAGAGTTAACATTTAAGCACTGTGGCGCCCCATAATGATGTGATAAATTAACATAATAATGTGAATAATGAACATAAGAATGTGATTAATTATCATAATAATGATCGTAATAACGTATCCCCCCTGTGTTGTGCCCTATGACAAACAGAACAACACAGACAACTAAATTATGGCAGGGAGATTTGCACCATTTAAGCTTCTGCACTTCACCCTGTCATCTCCTTAGTAGCTGAAGTTCCCTGCCTGTCATGGCCCAATCTTCAACGCGTATCACGTCCCTGTTGCTGCCATGCAAGGCGAGGGTTTGGCAAGCCTCAGGTCACGGTGACACTTGAATCCGTGAGCTGTCGGCACGTGTCAATCTGTCGCGAGCTGTCACTACTTCATCAGTCGTTCGTCCCAGCTGCTTCGGCAGCCGACATCAATGTCGTGTTGTGCGTGGGAAGTTCAATTGGCACTTGGGTAATGGCATTGTAGTGTTGTACACTTCTCTTTGAAACGGTGTTTCTTTTGGGCAATGTTATGAGTTAAGACTTGTGTTGCCAGCAAAATAATGTGAATGCATTCAAGTTCATATGTGATATCAATGTTAGAATTCGGACTGGCAAAGCGAGCATTGATACTCATCTGAATTGGTCATATTGAGCCAGTAGTGGAAATTCCACTTTACTGTGGCAGAGACTAAATCTCTCAGTAAAATAACTGTGACTGACTTTTCATATGATTGTACTTATAGTATTGAACCTCGATATATTATGGTCTGAATTGATCCACAAATGAGTCTTGAACTCGCAACCTTTGGGTTGTTAGTCAGGTGCAAATAGCAGATCCTGAGCAGACAAAATAATTACCACTTTATTGGAAATCAAAGCACTTGTCCGTTTGGTAGACTTTTCTCCTGCATGGGAATGATGAAATTCTCAACGCTGGCTTCAGATCACAAATAAGAGGCAATCGCCATCCAATCGAAATGCAGTGGTGTGTGGATTCGTTGCTCGCGATGCTTACGTTGAAATCCGCAACACTGAATTATTATTTACTATGTATGCAGATTTATATACAAAAATTACTTTTAGGCCAGTAGGTAAGCATGAGATGGAGCAGCGAAAAAGATGGTACAAACGAGACTATGCTAACATTCCCAGCCTACCGTCCGATGCTCGTGACACACGTTAACACAGAATCAGAATACTCATTTATACTGAAGCGAATCTGATGAGCTATGAAGCGAATTTTCACCGATTTCCAGTAGGGGTGGGTCAGAACGTTACAACAACAAACTACAAAAACACGAAAGGAGTGCAAAGTATAGGAAAGGTAAGCAAATCACGCAAAAAATGCATACAAATAAAACAAAAACAAAAATTTACTTTAACCGGGTAAGGCCCACCGAGCTATTAGCTAAGAGCTCCTCGTTGTTGCTCTGGAGCCCGGGAGATCGACGACCGATGTTCGGTCGCCGCGTTGGGGGGGGGGGGGCATTCGTCGCGATTCGTCCACCCTAAAAACCGCGTCCACTGCACACGCCACGCAAGTAAATCCGGATACCTGATGCACAAATGGAAAATGAAAAAAAAACTCTCCAGTGATGTGCGACTGTGGTCACCCAGAATAGGCCGTACAACGTGTAACAAGGCAACGCCCGTTCAACAAATGCGCAGGAGACGTCGCAGCGATAACATCTCCCTCGGCTGCTCCTGATGCGCTTGTCTGGCTCCACAAACCCGAATGCGAAATCGCGGCCGTCGCTCCGCGTCCGCAACATCGTCGGCCGTACGACAGGAAGTAAGACGTTCGCCGCGTTGCTGTGCTCGCCCTCCCAGGTGCTGTCCGTGGGCCGCCTGCACAACCCGGACGTGCACTACACCTTCAACGTCCCCATGGAGGAGCACAGCGAGCGCTTCGTCTGGGACCCGTACGGGCCCTGGCAGGACTGCAGCCGCATTTGCCAAGGTGCGAAAGAAGTCAACACGCGTTCTGATTCGAGCACGTGTTGGCTACGTACAGGTGCGAAAGAAGCCCAACGTGCATGCATGCGTGCGGTGGCCCTGGACAGAGTTGTGAACCGCATTAAGGTGTGAGGCCACCTCAGTGGCTCGGGTTAAAGGTTAGGTCTGAGGTTGTGGTTGAGGTGAGGAGACGTCGGGTTTGTTGTTGTCCTTCCCCCGCACCTCCGATTAGCACGCTTGGCTACGTACGGTGCGAAATAAGTTCAACGTACACACAGAACACGTGCATGCATTTCCTGAAAAACGTGAGCTGTACCGGTTTTGTTCCTTTGAATTGCAGACGTATTCCAATTGCGCTATCGGCATCACATTGTCATGAGACTAACCGCCCTTTCACGGAGCAATGCTCATTCACTGTGTTAGAGAACGGGTCGCAGAAGGTGATATCACAGAACTACTGCTGAGGTCCCTTCAAGTGACTTTTTTTTCATGTACAAAGATCCCCCGTGTAGCCTTAACAGACTGTTGGGGCAACTGCTGTTAGCGAGCACCTCCTGAAGGCCGAGCACATCTCACAAGGAGGTAGGTGGCCAGCGCCACTCCCGGCCGCCTTTGTCTCCCCAGTGGCGATGTTTTTACACACCGCACAGCGGGAAGACCCAGGACACACGCTTTTGTTTCTTATCTAAGAGCTGTGACCGTGCCTCTCCTCGTCGTGCTTGTCCGCTCCCCCCCCCGATCCGGCGCACCAGGCGAGCGCTCGCGCCGAGTGACGTGCGTGCGCGAGGGAGACCGCCACCCCGTGTCGGAGCAGCGCTGCGCGGGGCAGCCGAGGCCCCCGGTGTCCCTGTCCGAGCCGTGCAACTCAGAGTGTGAGTTAAGGTAACACCGTGCCGAGATCATCCTCCCTCCCTCCCCTCCCTCCCTCCCTCCTCCCCTCCCTCCCTCCTCCCCTCCCTCCTCCCTTCCTCCCTTCCCTCCCTCCTTCCTGTCCTCTCCCTCCCTCCCCTCCCTCCCTCCCCTCCCTCCCTCCCTCCCCTCCCTCCCTCCTCCATCCCCTCCCTCCCTCCTCCATCCCCTCCCTCCCTCCTCCATCCCTTCCCTCCTTCCCCTTCCCTCCCCTCTCCCTCCCTCCGTCCTCCCCTCCTTCCCCTTCCTCCATCCCTTCCCTCCCTCCTTCCCGTCCTCACCCTGTCGCTCCCTCCCACCTCCCTCCCCTCCCTCCTCCCTCCTCTCCCTCCCTCCTCCCCTCCTTCCCTCCCCTCTCCTCCCTCCCTCTTCCCCCCCTCCCTCCCCTCCCTCCCCCTCCCTCCCTCCTTCCCTCCACTCTCCTCCCTCCCTCTTCCCCCCCTCCCTCCCCTCCCTAATCTCCCTCCCCCCTACCTCCCCTCCCTCCCTCATCTGCCTTCCCCCCCTCCCTCACTACCTCCCACCTCCTCTTCCTGTCCTTCACTTTAAAGCCCACCGTGCCACGTGTTCAGTGTATGCGTTTATTTCAGCTATAATTTATTACCAGGTCACTTATGAAAAAAAGCCATAGAGCTCAGTGGGCCTTACCTGGTAAAATAAATAAAATATTCATTTTTTTGTTTAACGCTGATCAGGGGGTAAAGGTGCAGCACTGCAAGTGTACTCGCTCACGCCGCTGCTGGCGGACAGACCTCCACCAGTGAGATCCACAGAGAGCCCCCGCCTAAAGGGCCTTTGGCCTACTCGTCCACGCTGGCAAAACGTCTTGGAAGAGCTGGTTGTAACTAAATGTTTCCGCGCCGCACACGATCGTGACAATCTGCTAACTGGTGCACCCATGTTTATATTGTTGGGTGGGCAGTGACGGAGGGATTTCAGAAAACTTCCCATTGTTTAAAATGCCGTATCGATAGATCGAACCGGGCAACCGCCGGATTGCAAGGTCAGTGTGTGAGGAAGCATTACGCAATGGCAAGAAATCCAAGTCGGGGAGGGCAATGGGTTAACAGTGTTAGAAGACGCGACATCCCTCTGAACAAGATGAGGCATTTTCTTCCTCATGAGTGTATCTAGAATCAACATGTTGGGGTGGCCGGGGGGTTCGCACTGTCAGGGCAGCGAGCCTCCACTTCTGTGATCCTGGCTTCCAATTAGGGCTGCAGCCACCCGTGATTAAATCAGCTTTCTCTGGTGTGACAAATTAATTGTCTCAGCCCACACAGGAATTTTTGTACGCAACAAAAAAAATAAACCCCACTTCCGTATTCAGTGATAGAACCGGTCCTGGGAAAGCTCTTTACCAATCCGCATTGACCAGCGTGGTGAAGTATGGTTACGCAACCCCCACAACTCACACAGCCTAAGTAGACCCTCATCAAGCAGTGGATGTGACTAAGGACTGCACATTGCAGTGCATTATGCAAGTTAGAGGCAGCGTCGTGGATTTCACATTTAACGTGCACAGTCTTTCTGACATGCGCCGAGTGCTGTTGAACAAACAGCAAATTACAGCAGACGGGGCATTAAAGGCTGTGTGCTGCTATTTTATGACGCATCTGCAGCTTTGAGATCGGACCAACAGATCTTAGCTGCTGTCGTTAATGAAATGGGATGAAATGTTCACTTGCAGCAAGCATGAGTGCTTATTCCAACCGCTGCCTTCATCAGCGTAGCTCTTACGGCTTTCAAAAGGTTTTTTTTTGTGGCGTCAGTGACTTCTTGGCTTATTGGGAAATCACTGTGAAATCCAGGTCAATTAAGTGTGGCTTTTTTGGGCCTTAAAATGAATACATTTATTTTATTGGCACTGGTGCAGTTTGCGTTATTAGTACGTGTCTGCTGTTTCATTAAAAAGTGTATTTGTGTGCTTATTACATTATTTCCAAAACATTCCAGTAAAATAAAATAGGCAGTTTTATTTATTAATTTACCTAAGTTAATGTTCAAGCAGCTTACCGTTCACAAACACTACTGCATTCTGTATACGTTGCTGTGAATGTGCTGACTTTCTTTAAATGGGTGTTTTTGCAAGGTTGCATTATTACGAATAAGTACAAACATCTCTCCTTGTTATGAAACAATGAATAACCACTGGTCTCCTACATTGGCAATATATCTCGTAGAATTACATTTAATTCCATCAGCCAAGAGGAGCGTCTCTACCGATGCATTTCCAGCAGCAATTGATGAAGCAGGCAAACCCTCAACTGGTTTCATCTTTCCGCTTCTCATCAGCATGTTGTAGCCTATTAAAAAAATTGCTGGGTTCCATGTTGATATAGGCGTCATCGAGATGTTATGGTAATTCATGTTGCATTCTTCTTAACTTTTTAGCCAACACCTATGACCAGATCAGCGTGAATGGGCACGTTCTCATCAGCTCTCGAGAGTTACACCTGGACAGCGCTTGAATGAGTGACCACAATGCATCGTAGGCGTTATAGAGGCTGGAGGTGGTGGGGGAAGCTACGTTAAGGGCAGTGCAGCAAAACCCATCGTCGCTCTGCACCTCAACGCTCCCCACCTCTGTATCCCCCCGCGCTGGTCAGTGTGTGGGACGGGGGGGGGAGGGGGAAGTATGGCCGAAAAACCGGCACGATGCCGCAACGGCTGCTTGGGGGGGAGGCCTTCACGCAGCGGTGGGACAAACGATGGCCTCCGTGCAGTACGACGCGTTAGCAAGGCCTCCGTGCGGTTCAACACGTAAGCAAGGCCCCGGTGGCGGCAGGGGTGGCGGGGGGGGGGGGGCCGAGAGGAGAGTCACAAACACAAAACTCCCCGCAGGTGGCACGTGCTGGGGCGGAGCGACTGTTCGGCGGAGTGCGGCTCGGGTCACCGCACGCTGGACGTGCGATGCGTCCGCTACTCCGTCGGCGGGCCGGCCGTGGAGGAGCCGCCCGTGGCCGGAGGAGACGCGGCGGGGCCCATGGGGCGGAGGGGCAGCCCCTCTCACCCGACGGACGACGCGCACTGCCGGGACCAGTCCAAGCCGTCCACGCGGGAGGCCTGCTACGGCCAGTGCAAGCTGGTGACATGGAGATACTCGCCGTGGTCAGAGGTAGGTGGGAGCGAGCGACGGGTCGAGCGCGTAGTTGCCTCGGTGAGTATGTGAGTGAGTGGGCGGGTGGGTGGGTGAGTGAGCGAGCGAGTGAATGGGTGGGTGAGTGAGCAATGCATTGGTTGGATGAGTGAGTGGTTGGCCCAAAGAGTGAGTAGGTGAGAGGTTGGCTCAGTGAGTATGTTAGTGGGCGTGTAGGTATTGGCTCAGTGAGTGGGTGGGTGTTTGGGTGGGTGAGTGAGTGGATGGGTGAGTGAGTGAGTGAGTGGATGGGTGTATGAGTGGGTGAGTGAATGAGTGCGCAATTGAGTTAATGACGGAGTTATTGAGTGATTGAGAGTGGGCAATATCTCAGTGAGTGAATAAGTGAGTTGATATACGTGTAATAGTAGGTGGATGGTGTAATAACCCACCTAAGCACTTGCACATGAACGGATTCTATCGCTCGTATCTCCTTGTTAGACGCCCTTTGGGACGCATTCCATTTCTTGGCTGCCGCACACCCGGGCCTCTCCTAGTTCAACTTAACTCTGAAATGAGCATAGGCCTGCCTGCTGCAATGTATACACATCAATACCTGGCAGATAAAGGTGGCCGGGCGTGGTGCTAGCTCCCCCCCCCCGCCCCCCCTCGCGCACCATGCCGACCTTAATAGCTGCTCGCTAACTGTGCTCGTATTGCCCCAGCAACCAAGAAAGATGATACGTCACTTCTTTGTCCAATGTTTTGCGAATGCATATATTCGTAACTGCATCTCTCATCATTCATGCACGGCTCACATGTTGTGACAACACGGGGTCACGTGTGAGGGTATGGTGCGTGTGTGCGGTGTGTGTGTGTGAGAGAGAGTTTGTGCCAGTGAAGAGCGGTAGTGTCGTGGTTTGCGCACTGCACTATTAACCCGGCCACCTGAGTTCAATTTCTGCTCACGACCACGAGCAATGTCGAATATCTGAACCAGTTCTTGACCTCGCCTAGGTCTACTCGGCCTTAAATGAATAAGTGGGGTGATGTGTAACCATCAGCACTGGGGAGACAAAGGTGACTGGGCGTTATGTTGACCGTCCACCACCCCCTCGTGTGGTGTGCCGGACTTCATAGGTGTTCGCGAACAGCACTTTCACCAACGGGCTGTTAAAGGCTCCACGGGGTATCCGTGTATTTCTGTGTGTGAGAGTATAAGGTATGCAGTGATCTCAGTGAGTTAACCCACAACATCTGGCCCTGACCTGCAATTGAGCATTCGACACTTCACGCGACCTCAAAGTGCACCTATCCTGGCACAAGTGCTGTGGTGATGTCGCAACCACTGGACGCATTGTTGTTGAGTTAATGTGTGATGCTGCCGAAACGGGTGAATGTTTAGCAAGTTAGTGGTCGGCTGAGTGTAAGTAATTCGTGAGTAATGGCGTAGATGTGTCTGAGTGTGGGAGAGTACGTGATGGTAATGCTAGTGGGTGAATGTTGAGTGAGTGGTTGACCGAGAGTGGGTAAGTCATTTGTGAATGAGTGAGTTGATGTGTCTGAGTGTGGGAGAGTGAGTTTGTGACAATGCTGGACTGAGTGAATTGTGAGCTAGTGAGTGAATGGGTGGGTAAGTTAGTGTGTGTGTGTAGATACGTACACACTGGCATGCCTGTGTGCATTCCAAATCCAGCAAGCTGCAAATCCAAACAGTTATAGTGTTGCATTTTCAACACAATTCACAAAGGGGGGGCTCTGGGCGCAGCAATGGATTACGTTTTCAAAACACAAGGGGAGAATTGGATCCGGAGTAGCTGCCTACGGATTACGTTACCTCTGGTCACGCTTGGAGTCAAATTGCTGGAGCCAGGGCTTGTATCCTTAAGGTTATTTGTTAGCCCGCCCAGCTGATGACAAATGGGTCTGACATTCACATTGAGCGTTCGCCCCTATTGTTTGGGCTTTCTGATGGAGACACACACACGCAACGCACACATTCGTGTCACTCACAAACCCACACTGACCCATACATCTTTGTTTGGTGGTTGCTAGTGTAGGCGAGTGAGTGTGTGTGTGTGTGAGTGGGGGTCCCGAGTTCGATTCCTTCTCACGGCCACCAACACCAGTGGCGATTATCTGAATCGGTCCTGGGCCTCCCCTAGGTCGACTCAGCCTCCATTGAGTACCTAGTGTGATGTGTAAAAAAAAAAATCCCCCTCGTGTGCCATGCTGGCCTTCATAGGTGTTCGCTAACAGCACTTGCCCCAACAGTCTGTTGAAGCTATACCAGGGATCTTTCTCTTTAGGGGTCTAAGAGTGAGTAGTGATCTAATCGTCCGCATTCTGCGCTCGAATCCCGGTCAACTTGGTTTCATCACCCAACCATGCGCAGCATCAGTAGTAGCAAGTTTAAAATAAAATAAAAAAATCAACCTCATTGACATACAAGCACAATCTGACGACAAAAACGACACCATCTCCGTCCACTAACAACGCCACCATGGCGCGCCGTCCGCTTTGGCAGTGCTCGCGGAGCTGTGGCGGGGGCGTGCGGACGCGCGAGGCCGCGTGCGTCGGCGGCGCCGGCAGGCCACTGAGGCCCGAGGAGTGTGCGGGACTCGCGGAGCGGCACGCCAGCGAGGAGCCTTGCGGCCTCCAGCCCTGCCCGGCCTGGACACTCGGGGACTGGAGCAAGGTGACCTTTCAGACGTGCTTCTGCGGCTGTCTGGGACGCTCTTCCTGATGAATATTAGGACGCCGCTGGAGCTGTGTACTTTTGAACGATCTGCATTGAAAAGTCGTTTTCTTTGGAACTGCCCTTTCGTGTTTAGTTGGTTGACCTTCCCTCGCACTGTGAATTAGCACGGTTGGCTACGTCCGGTGCGAAAGAAGTTCAACATACGTACACGCATACACTCAACTCGTGTACACCGTTGACAGCCACGCGGACTGGCGGGGAGACAGACACACTAGCAGAAAGGCAGACAGGCGTGGAAATAGACAGGAAGACTGACAGATTGACTGATATAGAAACAGACGGACATAGAGACAGATAAAAAGATCGACAGACCGACAGACATAGAGACAAAGACTAACTGGTATACTAGCAGAATGACAGACATAGATATACAGACACAGACAGCTCGGTATAAAGCAGACAGACAGACACACTGTTGGATGAGTGGATGCAAAACATAGATGGATAGATGGGTAGATGGACAAGTCGTTAGGTTAGCCAGACAGACTGGCAGGTGTAGACGCAGATAGTCAGGCAGACACGCAGACGGAGAGATGGATGGGGGGGGGGATGGATGGACGCCTAAGTATGTAGGCCTCCAGACAAACTGAACTAAAACGTCAGACTGATGTCGGGACACGCGTCCGAGGCACGGTTGATGGTGGCCGTGTCTGCGCGCGTGCCGCGGGGTTGCAGTGCCTGGTGACGTGCGGGCGCGGCGTGTCGAGGCGGCACGTCGAGTGCCGTGCCGGGGACTCGGTGCTGTCCGAGGAGATGTGCGGCCCGGACGGGCGGCCGGACGCCGTGCGCGCCTGCCTTGGGCCTCCGTGCTCCACGTGGCAGGAGGGACCGTGGGGACCGGTACGCCGCCCCCCCCCCCCCCTCCCGCACGTGCACGCAAACGGCCCACGCGCTCGAAGGCATTCCTATGAGCGAAGAGACGTTCGAGAATTTCTGTAGCTTACGTGATTAGGCCTTCAGTTTTGTATTACCCCATAGGCCGTTGTGATCATCGTGCCACCTTTTATGGCCAGGATTGTGATGCTCTACCCCAAGACGTTGTACGAACTAAGATGGGGGAGGGTGGTGGAGGGGGGCACCCCTTGCACAAATGCAGATTAGAAGAGCAGTGTGCCGTTGACTGTCTTGTCTCCTCTGTAACCGTGCCACCCAATCACTGTTTCACCACTACCCAAACATATTAACAAAATACAAAAAGCCTTTAACAGACTGTGAGGGCAAGTGCTATGAGTGAGCACCCAACAATCACATGACAAAGACACGCTTTGCTTAATTTCTGTTGTTTATATCCGATTGTAACTGTGGTTGTTTTGTTTCTCATTTGCAACGTTCTTCCATGTGCACACACACACACCTATACTCACTCGCAAACGCACACTCTCTAAAACACCTGCACGCACGCACGTGCCTACGCTCGACACACAACTCAATGACACCCACGTGCACGCACGCCCACGTGCACGCACGCCCACGTGCACGCACGCCCACGTGCACACACGGCACCGCGTGCCAACTGCCACCAGTGCTCCGCCACGTGCGGCGCCGGGTACCAGATGCGCGCCATCCGCTGCATCGAGGGAGAGCGGGGGGAAGCTGTGGCGGAGGAGCGATGCATCGCCACCGCCCGGCCAAGCCACACGCAGGTATACGGGTGACCCCTTTTATTTCCTCATCGTTTTTCCTTCGTAACAAAACGAGAGCCCAGTGTAAGACACCGAGCCTAACAAGGGTTGGGGGGGGGGGGGTTACAGGGCGGTGGAGTACAACAACTCCGTGGACTGAGTCCCGGCCTCAATACTCTCCAGGGTCCGTAGATGGGGAGGATATTGTGCTCACTGCCCCACACACGTGGGGACTACAAGCGAGCAAGAGCCGGTTAATATATCGAGGGCAGGGGGAGGGGGGGATAAGGGACAAAAGTAAGGGGAGCCTCCACATGCCAAGTGGAGTCGTCCTCCTCAGAAGTCCCGAATATATACGGGCGCCCTTTGACGAACAGATGCCACCGGGAATTGCAATGCAGAGGGCACCGGTTCAAGTCGATCTCCCGGCGCGGTAGTTGATGCGGCCTTTCCGAAATCCACCCGCTTCTGTCCAACCAGCAGCACGCACGGGTACACATACAGCCAGTCGACCGGCAGGGGGTGAAGTGGTGTATGGGGGCACTGCCACTTCTGTCGAGACGTGGAAGAGTAGGCAAAAATACCCCGTAGGGAGGTGATTTCGAGCTCCTCTGTAGCGGAGGTCCTTCCCCCAGCAGCGGTGGAGCTTTAAAGCCACGTGCGTGCCCACCGCCTCGTTAAAAACGCGCAGTCGTCGTCAGTTGGTGTGGCCTCCCCTTTAAACGTGCGTGCCACGTGGCCAGGTGTGGCTCAGGGTTCAGAGCGCTGAGCTGGCACCGCTGACACCCTGGGGTTGAATGCAAACGACTGCCAGTGGTTGAAGTGGGTTCTCAATCGTCGTGAGTTGATGGCGGCAGCCCAGGCTAACAGCGACTGCACAGGAAAAAAAAACACATTGTGAAAAAAGATGGGGTTCTGCCCTAAACGCTTGTAAATGTTATACTCTTGATATATATAAAAAATCAGTTTGCCGATCGTGCGATGGACATTACTCTTTGTGACAGCGTGGATGGGAAAGTGCTGCCCGCCACTGCGTGGACCAGGGGTCACTTGAAGGGCCCTCAGAGGCAGCTCTGTGATATCCACTTCCCTGTGTAGTTGTCACGACATGTAGGGTTGCGTTGCGTAGATCTGCATGTATACGTCATATCGTGTCGATGGGACAACATTGGAGGCGGAAAAAAAAAAAATAAGTGAATTCATATTCTTGGTTCTTTCGGTAAAGTCACGTGACTTTACTGAAAGAACCAAGAATATGAATCCCTGCAGTCACGAAAGCTTTAAAAAAATAAGTGAAGTTAAGATACACAATGACACTTGATTATTATTGAGTACGTACATAAGATTGCCTGTGATATAGACTAGTGCTCGAGTTAGAGGGCTCCCACTGATAATGGAAATGAGAACCAGCCAATGCTTAAAATTTTAAATAGCCCATGGAATTCAATAGAAATTTTCACCACCTGATGTGGAAAAACTCTGTTGGTACGGATTAAATGACATAAAACAACCCACTGATATTTTAAGAGCTTATCACGCAAGCACCGTCGATGAGCTCGAACAAACCCAATGGTCACGTGGCAGTGAATAGTGACATATATTGGCTGGGCCCACGCGTTAGATTTTCATAAAAGACAGCCAGGCAGGGTTGCATTTTCAGACGTCAATATTGTCGATTAATTCAGAGGGACTTATTTAAGTGGCCCGTCGCTCTTTCTGGCCCAACACAGGAATGCAAGGTGGTGGAGTGTGCGTTGCCCGTGGTGCCCAGCACACCAGGGCATCCGACCCACCCGGACCAGACGCAGTGGAGGTTTGGCTCTTGGACCGATGTGAGTACTCCCCTCGATGCCACTTCCCCTGCAGCATTAATCATAATTATTATTACTCGTACACATTTGTAGCGGCGTGTATAGTGTCTCTGTGGTGCAGCGCCAGTGCCGAGAGGAGGGTGGTACTGGCGCTATGGTTGCCCCGTTGTGTTAAGAATAAACGTGTTGCCTCCAAGTTCGAATGTGCGCCTCTGTGGAACCCACTACACATTTTTCCCACAGCGTCGTTCGTGCAAAACTGCATCTCACAACGATGTACGAGGCAACAGCTATATATATAAAAAATGCCCCTCGCAGGACACATCAGAAGCATATTATTTTTTATACTGGAGGAATCCGATGAGCTATGAAGCTCTTTTTCACAGATGTCCAGTAGGGCAACGACAAACAGTACAAAAACACAAAAGGAGTGCAAAGTATAGAAAAGGTAAACAAATCACTAAAAAAATATATATATGCAAATAAAACGAAAAAATGTTTTATTTTTTTATATCAGGCAAAGCCCACTGAGCTATTAGCTTCATTTTGAGAAGCGACCTGGACACAAATGATAACTCAACGAAGTGGCTTATCATGTGGACATTTATAGCAGCCAAACCATGTAAATAATCGAAATGCAAACCCCAAACCAAGGTCAACTCAATTAATGTCCGTAGTAAACAATTTGTTTTATTTTTAAATATGGCTTGAATAGTGGAAGGGACTGAAGTTGATAAATGTCGAGTGGGAGTCCGTTCCACTCCATGGATATCCACTTCCCTGTGTAGTTCCGTTCCACTCCATGGGAGCTGCAGATTGTTCGGCACGCTGACCCCACTGTCTTGCGTTTAATTTGAGGCTGATTGAGCAGCTCCAGACTGGATGAACAAAGTGCCCTGCATGGGGTGTAGGCTGCAATGAGGGGAGATAGATGGGCCGGGGCAAGTCCATTCAGAATGTTATATAGTCAGTCGGCTTGTTTAAACAGAAGCGGAAAAGAGATCGCTAAGATATACCAGGACCCATATTCAACAGAGAGTGTCCTTGCCTCTATGGTAAAGTGTGATATTCATGGTTCCGTTTTTAATGGGTATGGTTTTCATAGTCTCTTTCGAAAAAAGCAGGTGTTTTTTTCATCTGTCTGGTATTCATGATTCAAGTATTCGGACAGTACTATTGTTCATGGGATGACAATCGTGGATCTGGCATTCATGCTTTGTGTTTTTGAAAGCTTCAATATTCCTGGTTTTATTTTTCAAAAGTCTGCTGTCACAGACATGCTTTGCCGCGGGTTTATTTATCACGGGTCAGATATCCATCGCTTTATTTTCCATAGGTCTCAATTTTCAATGGTTTATTTTCAATGGGCTTGTCCTGCCCGATGGCCCTGATCCACGGTGTTCAGTAATGTATGTACGTGCCATACACAGCCTGACCGCGCTCACCGGAGGTTCTGCTTGCTCTCCCCCACTGCCCCCCCCCCCCCTCCCCACTGCCTCCCCTCCCACCCCAGTGCTCGCGCTCATGCGGGGAGGGCGTGCGCGAGCGCTACGTGAGCTGCCGCGACGCGGACGGCGACGTGGCCGAGGGGGCCGCGGCGTGCGCCCACCTGCCCCGGCCGCACGAGCGCGAGGCCTGCTCCTCGGGGCCGTGCGTGCGGTGGCAGGCCTCCACCTGGGGCCCGGTGAGACCCCCTGAGCTCTCCGCCATCCGACTAGTCCCCCACCCCGATGATGATGTTACTGGCACAACCATCGTGTTCATTCGTTAACAGATTCCGTGTAGCCATCGACGCAGAAGCCACGCCCTGTGCATGTGCGTGGGATAGCGGGTTCCGCGCGGTCCCTCTCGCCGCTCCGCTGGCAGGGCCTCGTCTCCGGCGGCTGTGATATTTAGCCCCTCTAGAGAGTATTTGGCCTACTCTTCCATGCTGGCCAAACATCTTGGATGAAGTAGGATGAGTTTTGGTCGCATCGTTTGCTGGGCTCGTCGTCGGGGTCCAGCATTAATGATCGCAGTGAGAAATGCATTCCAAACTAAACTAAAAGTTTTTTTTTGTTTTCACCAGGTAAGGCCCACTGAGCTTTCTAGTTATGTTTCAGAAGCGACCTGGCCACAAATGATAGCTCAACGAAGTGGCTTATCCTCTGGAATTTAATAGCAGGCAGATACTTTAAACGCATTTTTATTTTATATATTGGAGGGGAAAAACCAGAATACCCAGAGAAAAAATCCACACGACCACGGGGAGAGAGAGACACGCAAACTCCACATATACAGCAGGCGTCGTCAGGTTCGTGATCAAAACCACGACCTCCATAACAGGCGACGTAGTCAACATCCGGCCATCGTGCCGCCCCACGGCATAGATGAGATTTAAGATCTGGAATAAAGATGTGCGACGGCCGGACACTCCAGCGTCGTGCCGCACTGCCACGTGACCAAACGTGACGGTCCCCGGTGACTTGCGCGTCATCTCCCCCCCCCCCCCGCCGCTCAGTGCTCCGCCACGTGCGGCCGCGGCGTCGAGTCGCGCCACGTGGCCTGCGTCCCCCTCGACGACCCCACGGGCGTCCACGCCGTCGCCGCCGTCACCGCGTGCCAGCCGGAAGAGCGCCCCATCTCGGAGCGGGAGTGCTCGCCGGAGGCCTGCCCGCCCGAGACGAGAAGTAGGAGCGGAGGGGACGTCTCGGGGGAGGGGGTCGCGCGCCCACGCCCGGTAGCGCCCGCAGGGACCACCTCGTCTGCTCTCCCGTCTCCTCCTGCTGCTGCCGATGACACCGATGACGCTGACCGCTGGAGGACTGGGCTTTGGGGACCCGTGAGTTGTTTTGTTTTTTATCTGCGACCCGAACGGCAAAGCCGCGCGCGTGTGCGTGTAGTACGTCATGCATCTTGGCTTATAGATGCATATACCTGGGCTGTGTCCCAAGCTACGCAATATGAGAATATTAATAAGAAAAACGTTCTTTTTAAAAGAAAAAGCAGTCAGGTGCTGTGTCATGGCACTCGTGACATCATTGGTATCGTACGGAGACGGATGGGTTTGACGTCACAGTAACATCACTGGGTTGTTGTAGTGATGCACTTCGGAGTTTTTCGCTTCAAGAAAAAAATGTGGCAAAAAATGAACCTTCGCTGACACGCGAAAGAAGTTCAACATACATATGTACAAACGTTTGCTCTGAGTCCGCGGGTCCACAGTTCGCCAGGGACATTGTGAATCGGAGCAAAAAAAGCCTGCGGCCCTGCGTTCTGAAACGTTTGTCTGTCGCCACGCCGGCCCGACCTTCCGCACGCCCCCCGCAGTGCTCGCAGACGTGCGACGACGGCGGCGTCCAGCGACGCCTCGTCGTCTGCCAGGATCCCGACGGCGAGCCCGGCGATCGCTGCGACCAAAACTCACGGCCGCCGGAGATGAGGCCCTGCCAGCAGCAGCAGCTGTGCGCCCTGTGGAACTTCGGCACGTGGAGCGCGGTGAGAGGGAGCGCGCGGGACCCACTCCCCACACTCGCTCGCGCGCTGGCTGCCGCGTCGATGGCTTTCACGGCGTCTGTTCATAAATTGAAACAGTGGTTTGATCAGTAACAGCATTAAAAAAAAACAGGCAATCCGGGTGAGAGAGCAAGCACTGAGCGACGTGGTGCACAGCCAGTAAGGACAGCATAATACCACCGAGTGCGCCTCATACATGACTTAGTCTCACCGGATTAGCGAACACGTGGGTTTATGGCTAATCATATTATCCAAGAAACTTGGTATATTCATTACAGGCTAATATCTAATTGCACAACATTGCTCTAAAAATAAAGGGCGTAAAGACACATGCATCCAAGGTGAGTAATCTATCTTCGATTAACACCCCCATCATTCCACTCACACCTCAATAAACAGCAGAAATACAAGGATGATACAATGTGGCCTGGAGAGCAGGTGATTGGTTGGTTATGATCTTGATTTGAAGCTTTCGTGACTGCAGGAATCCATATGGTTGGTTATGATTGCTTAGGAGAGAAACACATTCTTGGATTGCTAAATTAAAATATATATGTATTTTTTACTCATAATTATACCAATTTTTCGATTTAAAGCTTTCGTGACACAATAATATTCTCACGACGTTTCGGCCACAACACAAGCAGCCTTCATCAGGTGAAGGGACGAGACTGTCTGGTAGGACAGCGCTGTCCTATGCAAACCAACACACCTGAAGACGACCGTTTGTGTTATGGTCGAAACGTCGTGAGAATTTTTATTGTTTTATATATTTTTTATTATTTTGTTGTTTCCCTTAAACGTGACTTTACCGAAAGAACTAAGAATATGAATTACTGCAGTCACGAAAGCTTTAAATCAAAAGATGAATTATACTAATGTTTAATTATTGATAGATGTATTTTCCATTGTGCCACTGTTATTGTATTGAATAATCTTCGTCCTTCATTAAGCTTTTAAATCGAGAACAACAATGCATGACAAGGATGAGCCCCTGTGTTCACGATAGCCTTTCTGCATACACATCTGTGGCAGGAAAGGCACCATCATCACGGCAAGTTATAGGGCAGTTTCACGACATTTTCCATAGCTCGTTTTCAACACAGCAGCGCTGCCCTTCGTAACAGGAGACACATCTGGCCGTTTATGTAACAGAGCACAAATCAGTGCCACCTGTGGCGGTAAAGCTTTTATGTCACCATTCTCTTCATATGGCCAGTACAAGCAAATTAATACATCGTATGGGCGCGCTGCCTTACAAACCTGGCAACCTGATTTACTAAACTCAACGTTTTATTTTGCCAGGTAAGGCCGACTGAGCTATATAGCTCTTTTTCAGAAGCGACTTGGCTATCACAAATGATAGCTCAACGAAGTGGCTTATAGTGTGGACGATTACAGCAGCCAAATCCTCTAAACGCGCGTTGATTCTAAATGTGGAGAGCAAAACCGGAGGACTCGGAGAACAATTCACGCGACTACAGGGAGAGAGAAATGGGCATTCGAAATATACAAGCATCAGGGTTGGGATTGAACCCACGAACCTCCCGTATACCGGGCGAGGTAGTTAACATCCCACTACTGTGGTGCCCTCGAATTTAGATTCCTAGCCACAGCTAACATCTCAACGGCTCCTGGGCTGCCTCTTCACCAACCCGCTCGAGCCAGCGTGAAGGACGATCAAATAACCCCCATGGCTGACATGGCATGGGAAGGCCTTCACCAATATGTGATAGACTTTAATATACCGCAAATTATTTATTCAGGAATGCTTCACTGTGGGGGTGGTGGTCTCTGTCCCTAGCCACATGCTGTGCGCGTGTCTTTGTGATGCACTGTTCTCAATTCTGCTATACGTGTGTATGTGTGTGGTGCAGCGCATGTGTGTGCATGCGTGTGTGTAGCGGGAGCGGTAGTGCAGCGGTTAGCACGCTGTACTATGATTCCCGCTCACGGCCAATACCAGTGACGATTATCTGAACCGGTCCTGGGCCTCCCTTAGGTCGACTCAGCCTCAAATGAGTACCTGTTGCAGTGTGTAAACATCGCCACTGGGGAGACAAAGGCGGTCGGGCGTGGTGCTGGCCACCCACCCCCTCGTGTACTGTTCCGGCCTTCATAGGTGCTCGCTAACAGCACTTGCCCCTACAGTCTGTTAAGGCTATACGGTGGATCTTTGTCTTTATAGCCAGAGCAGTAGTGAGCAGTAGTGTGCAGTTGGAATGCTGCACTACGAACCCGGCAACCTGAGTTCAATCCCTGCTTCCAGCCAACACCAGTCACGATTATCTGAACCAGTCCTGGGCCTCCCCGAGGTCGACTCAGCATTAAATGAGTATCTGGCGCTGTATGTAAACATCAGCACTGGGAAGACAAAGGCGGCCGGGTTTAGTTCTAGCCACTCACCCCATTGTGTGCTCACTGAGCTATATAGTTCTTTTTCAGAAGTGACCTTGCCATAAATTACATCTCAACGAAGTGGCTTATCACGTGGACATTTATAGCAGCCAAATAATCTCAATGCATGTTGACTCTACATGTGGAGTGAAAAACCGGAGGACCCAGAGAAAAATCCGCGCGACCAAGGGGAGACACGCAAACTCCAAATACGCAGGCGTCATCAGGGTCAGGATTGAACCCACGACCTCATGCATATCAGGCGAGATAGTTAAACAGCTCTGTGTGTGTGGGGGGGGGGGATCTCGCTGTCTTTGCGACACAGTGTTCTCGATCCTGCGGAGGCAGTGGCGTCCGGACGCGCCTCGTGCTCTGCCAGTCTCCGGAGGGACAGCCGCTCCCCGAGACGCGGTGCGAGGCGGCAACGCGGCCGCCGGCGGCAGACGCCTGTCCCGACGAGGGTCCCTGCGTGAGCCCCGGGGTGTGGCACCGCTCGTCCTGGAGCCCGGTACGAGCCGCACCGCCGGTCTCTTGCTTCGGCCGCTGTGGGGCTGCGTGCACGGATAATGAGGAGTGCATTTCCGAGAGGGAGTGGCAGGAAGGGTGGAGGATACCCAATATCCCCTTCTCTCCCCGTGAGCAAATATAGCCCTTCAAGAGGTGGTAAGACATCGGGCGAATACGGTGGGGCAGAGGTCATCGTAACGAACAGCACTTTTGTTTTCGAAGATGTTTTCAGGCATTCGGCAAATGGAATACAATGATGTACTGGAGTTAATATTCAAATGTATGCCAATTGTGTTGAGTAGTGGTTGTGATGATGATTTTTTTACGTAAATGCAATGCCACTAATGATTGTCTCATAGTTTATATATGATATGTCATCATATTGTTCGTTATAATATAGTTAATATCATCATCACGTGGCGTTTTCACTGGAGATCTGTTTTTAACGAAGGCCAAGTATTTCCTCTAGTGAGAGAGTAATATTAACGATAGCAGTAATGCATGAGTGATATTAAAAAAAAAAGAACTGAGGTGGTAAAATAAAAAACTGCAGAATTATCTGCAGCTGATGATGGGGAAAAAAATGCAAATCATTGCAACGACAAAAAATAGCAATTTCAAAAAAGCCACATTTGACCTTGATGAACATTTCCACGAATGTCAGCAGTGGTTCGCCCCACAGAGTTCAGACACAGGATGCATAGGGCCCTGCTGTTATCTTGGGCCGTACAATGGGAGACACCGAGGCACTGGGCCACCCTTCACTTGGTAAACCTTCCTTATCCACATTTTATCAGTGGGAGGCTGGGCGGGGGGGGGGGGCAGGCTCTATACCAAACCTGGAATTCAGGATACGCGATAGCAGATAACGATCTCACGGGAGGTTTCCTGCCAACCGAAAAGGGGTTGATGAAAATGTCAGTTGGCGCTTTGACTGCCCTTGCAGAGGGGAACCGATGCGATTGGGCACTGCAAGGATTGCCCCCCACCCCTCCTTCACCCACCCACTCACCCACCTCCGTTCCGTCTCGCTGTTAATTTTAGACGCACGATGGAAATGTCATGGGATGGCAGCAGGGAGCGGAGGAGTTCCAGCCGACAGAAAGACTCCCGTTGCTGTGACCCCCCCATTGTTTGATTTATCTCTTGAAGGAGCAGCGAGCGAAGGGTGCGCGTGCGTGTACGTGTCTGTGCGCGTGTACGTGTCTGTGTGTGTGGCACAGTCGCAAAGATGAATTTAAATGAACGTAGAAGTTTTTAAATGTTTTAAACATTCATTATCGGAGTGGAACAAAGTTTGAATAGCTGTATTGTTAGATAAAGCAGACATCATTTGGTCATGTGAAGTCTAAAAGTGTGCTGCTGTGCATGTGGTGATTGGTGTCATTGGTTTAATTTTAAATGATGATAATTATTTTTAAAAATGATGATGACGGTAATGGATATGATTACAAATTATGATTTTGTTGATGAAAGAGATGATAAAGGAGACGATGTTTAAACGTAATGCCGATACGAATGAAAGTAGCAATGGGCACGATGACGGTTCACAAAACATTACTGTTAACCATCTAGTTATGATGACGACGGCGATGGAGATGATGATGATAATATTCAGTGATGGTGGAGAATGCAATGACGATGATAATGACAGGTGATGATGATGAATATGTCTGCTTGGCTGCTTGCCGCGGGCAAGCCTTGCTGCTTGGCCATCACAACAGCCAGTGCATTAAGTAGGATTAAGCGGCATCCATTGCTGCCAGCTCTCACGCAACGCTGGCACGCCTGTGGCTGGCCACGGCGCTGGCTCAGGTTTCCCTGGCAGGGGGAACTGGGTGTCAACTTCCGTCGTCCGTTTCTGAAGCGGTAGTAGCAAGATCGGTGGCGTGCCAGCACCACAAGCGCCCCTTGTGCTAGGCCAGCGGAGAAACGCGTCATTAAGTCTGAAGCAAGTCCATGTACGTACGTGTGTCGAACTTCTTTCGCACCGCGCGTAGCCAACCGTGCTAATCGGAGGCGCGGGGGTAAGGACTACAAGCTGAGCACAAAAAAGCAGTTCTACATAAATGCGTTTTCAATTTGGACGATTTAAAAGTGCATAACTCCCAGTGGCATCCTTAATATCGGAAAGAAGAGCATTCCAGACGGCCGCAGAAGCGCACCTGAGCGTGCGCAATGCGGCGACCGTCTCTGTTCGATGGCTAGCTGTCGTCTGTTTCTGAAGCGGTAGCGGAACGAGTGGTGCCGTGCAAGCACCACAAGTGCCCCTTGTGCTAGGCCAGCGGAGAACGTGTCATTAAGTCTCACGCAGTTTAGACTTAGTAATGTACGTGCATGCATTTTATAAACGTGCTTACGTGTGTTGAACTTCTTTCGCACCGTACGTACCAGTACACATATACGAGTGTCCTTTGCAGGAATTTACCCTCATTTTCCCATGGTGGCAAATTTACTTGGTTCACTTATAATGGGGATTGTATGTTTGTAAGTGTTTAAAGTGATATTTCAAAGACATTTAGCATTTTACGCTGACCCTGCTCAACCACCGTGCTGTCATTTTTAGCAACCACGTTTTTATTTATTTAGCTTTTTTGCATTTTTAGTTGTGAACAAGTACATGCACTTTCGTTGGTTAGTGGCTTGGCAGCGGTGAGTAGCACTGAGCAGTGGTCAATGGCAGGGCTTGTGAATCGATGATTGTTCAGGCTTCAGGGATTCTCCGCCTGTGCAAAGTGTCCTTGCGTGCGTGTGGTGGTGCAGCGGTTAACTTGCCGCGCTCACGGCCAACACCGGTGACAATTATCTGAATCAGTCCTTGGCCTCCCCTCGGTCGACTCAGCCTCAAATGCGTACCTGGTGCGATGTGTAAACATCAACACTGGGGAGACAAAGGCAGCCGGGCGTGGTGCTAGCCACCCACCCCCTCAGACAGGACTTGTGTATAGTTGCGTGTCTGCACGTGCGATTGGAATACGCCGTTGCCAAGCGCAAGCAGCGGTTGAAGGTTCTCAGTATTTAATGCCTCGTGTACGTAGTGCCAACATCATACCTGCTTCATACTTTCTTTGCGCGAAAAACACGCACACATGTTTCTGAGAGGATCAACTGTAACACAAAACAGTCCGCATTATATAAATAAATGAAATTTGAGGCCTGTACACGCTCTATTATTTTCCATGAGGTTTTTTTGGGGGTCAGATCAAGTAAATATTAACCAACACACCCACTTTAGGCTTACTCTCCAACACACTGGTGTGTGCTGTACTAGTAACGAATTGACATGTTTTGTTTACGTGACAAACCTTACTAATTGGCTGTGTCGGGTGGTGGCGGGTTTAACGACGCATTTATATTTACGTGATCTAACCCCCAAAAAAACCTCCTATGGGTAATACTGGTCGCGAAATCCTACGTGTTAATCTCTATTATTTGTAGATATTATTTCCCGCATGTGCCAGTGGATCGTGTAAGGTTTTTAAATTACAATCTAATGCTGTAGAGTTCACCAATGTATTACATTTTTCTCAAGTTTGTGAAGTCGGTTAGCTTTTTCATCCGAGCTGATGTTACCCTTGAAAGTATCACTGTATAGCACCAGGAATTCGTGTAAATTGGCAGCAATTAGTTCAAAAGAGAATTTGGTAACTGGTTACAATATTTAATTTGCATGTTGTCTACTTATATATCTTTCCAAATTGTGTTTATTGGTTATTGCATTGAGATTATGTAGATTTTGCTGCTGTAAATGACCACATGATAAGCCACTTTGTGGAGCTATCATTTATAGCCAGGTCACTTCTGAAAAATAAGTGAATGGCACAGTGGGCTTGACCTGGTAAGATAAAAAAATAAATAGTTTAGTTTTATTTGCATCTTTTAAAGGATTATTTTTTTCACTTTTCCTACACGTTGCACTCACGTCGTGTTTTTGTACCGTTTGTTGTTGTAAAGTTCTGAGCCCATGCCCGTACTGGACATCTGTGAAAAAGATCTTCATAGCTCATCAGATTCCTCCAGTATAAATAACTCTTCCGATCCGAATTCTCATTCGCTTGCCCCCTTACAGTCTGCTAAATGCTCTACGCGGTGACCTCTGCCTTTATCGCGTGCCCCCGTGCGTGCGTGCACAGTGCTCCACGACGTGCGGACGCGGGACGCAGTACCGGGAGGTGCGATGCCTCGCCGACGGCGGCCGGGGCGACGCGCTGCTGCTGCTGCTGCCGCCGGCCGACTGCGGTCACCTGGAGAAGCCGCGGCAGCAGAGACGGTGCCGGGCCGGTCGCTGTCCGAGGTGGAGGGCGTCATCCTGGGGCCAGGTAAACACCGGCGCACCTGCACGCAAGCCCCCTCCCCCCCAGTCGCTCGCACGCCTGAAATCGTGTCGCCTCCGTCTGCCGATGACATGTTTGGTGTCGATGAGATAAGAGGTGAGTTAGAACTGGGCACGACGCTGCCCTGCCTCCCTGATCCTTGATTAACCCTTTCCCCATTCAGAGACGTCTGCAAGTGGCGGGGTGGGTCCCCGATCACCGCCGAATCTCGGAACGTGCGAGCGGTTCGCGTTAATTTTATTTCGAGAGGCGTAGTGCTGCTGTTTTTAAAAGGCATCGTGCTCACCGCAGAGAACTGTGGCGACGCGGCCGCACTCTACGATAGCTGGCGCCAAACTGTGCCGCAAGCCCCTCCCGCATTGGCCTTTTACTTCCGATTCCCTTTCGGAATCGATTCCCTTTCGGAATCGATTCCGTTCCGATGACGTAAACGGGAAAGGGTTAGTCGCCATGCGTGTGGCTTGCGCGGAATACACATGGAGCCGGGGTTTCCCGATCCCACTGTTGCCATTGCAGCGGCTGTCCAACAAAATCCACTGCCGTTATTGAACCGCTGCATAGTGTCACAGCAACAGTAATGAGTGGCTTTCTGGGGTTGGTGGATCACTTGAGGATACATACTGTGCGTTCTCTGTTGCTCTTTATATATTTTGTTTACAGTGCAACCATGTAAGGAAATAAAGCTGTTTTATACATAAACACAAATATACGCTTGGGCAAAAGTGGAATTTTTGTAGTTTGAAACTTCTCTCATGATGAAGTAAGATTTTAAAGTCACGGTCTTGTGGTTTTCAAGAGTTCCACCACATTGCTCTCGAGTGATGTTGACTTGGATGTTATTGCCATACCTTGTAATGCGTGTAAGTTTTGAAGCGTAGAGCCTTATGGGAACCTGTTAAGTCAATATCAGTGCATGCTTGGAACTTTGGAGAGAAAAAAAAACAGTAATGGTTGAGTGGTCAGCTCAGAAGACCGAGCTGGAATTACTGAGATCATGTGTTTATCTTGTTGTCCTTCCCCCATACCTCCGATTAGCATGGTTGTTTTTTTTACCTACGTGACTTTACCGAAAGAACCAAAGAGGACGGATTCCTGCAGTCACAAAAGCTTCAAATCCAGATTGAAGTGCAACATACATACATCTGCCTCCGATGATTAAACATTGGTTCTCAAACTGTCGCCAAAGACGGCACAAAAATAAACTATCACACTAAATTTTGGTCCTTCACGTGAATCGGGTGAGTTCCAGCTCTAATAATTAGAAACATCGGTTTGACTGGCACGATATAAACATTACTCTCGAGAACGGTAGAGGTTGTTACCCCCGCTTGTGTGGGAAAAAAAGGGTACGTGAAGGGAATTTGGAAGTAGTTAAGAGTTATCCCATTCCACAAGCTATTCTCGAACACGTGGCATAAGAAGTGCTCGATGAGAATCCGGAATGGACATTCCGTGTCATGAGTTTGTTGTCCTTCATCCCGCACCTCCGATTATCGCGGCTGACTACGTACGTTGTGAAAGAAGTTCTACACATGTAGGTACGTACACGATATAGTGCTCACGGTAAACACAGTCGTAGTAGAGTGGGGGGGGGGGAAATACGACAATAACACATTGGGAGCAACCGCCGTGCTAGGTGGAGGAGGCAATGAGACAGAGTTCAAGAGGTGAACGGGCAGTGTTTGATGACAGAGGCAGATCTAAACTGCAGCTCTGTCATGGATCAATAGTGCTTTAGTAACGAAATTAAATAGCACGGGTTTGTTTTTCCTCCTGGTTATCTTGTCCTTTGAGGGGCATTACAGCGGACGGCCTGAGATGCGAGCGAGTCATTTGGTGCACCACGTGTGTGTGTGTGTACATTAAGAAAAGAATGTGGAATAACATCAGTGTGCTTCTCGTGGACTAAAATAAACCAAATCCTGGATCATTTGTTATATACAAATATATATATATCGGTGTATGCCCAACCACGGCACGGGGGCACGTGCCAATGTGGCTGTGGTAGATGGTATTGTTTTCTCTCTTCTTTTCTAGAATTCAGACATTGACTTGAATATCTATATGATAGTAATGTATCTTAAAATAAATATTTTTGCAATGCAGACTTTAGGTTATCAATATTTTTTTTTTCCAAAATCATCGGAATGTATGGTAGCTGTGGAGGTGTTTTTTTTTCGTCCAAAAAAATTTATAGCAGGGCGGACAGTTTTTTTTTTCGGATGCTGCTGTGGTATAATGGTTAGCACACTGGACTTGCGAACCAGAGGTGGCTTGTCCTGTTCGACAGTTGAAACAATGGGGAAAGTTTATTAAATCTCCTCCACGTCTCTGTCCACCTCCGAAGAATAAATGGGTCTTGCCCACAGTTAGTCGGTCGAAAGGTCGCGTATGGTGGTTTATCGTGCGGGTCGTGTGGAAGCTTAGGCCAAATGCCCTTCAGAGGTCCTTCCTCCAGCAGCCTTTTCAAACGAGTAATTGCAGGACTGCACCTGTGCCTTTTAACCTCTTCTCGCCTGGTGTGGCAGCAGCGCACATACCTGTAATGCAACGCTTTGGAGGTGAGCGTGAGTGGACGGTGTAGATTTGTGAAACTCGGCAACCGAATTGCAGAATTATCCCGATAACAATGGACCGAGACTTGACGAGGCTTTTTTTCTGGTAAAATATATGGCATTGTAAAATAAATGACAGCATAAACGTTTTATTTTTAAAAAAAACTTTAAAAGGATGGGATTTTTGTACTTATTATTGTTGAAAACTGGAAGTGTAGTCTGAGTCATGATTTATAAACCTGTACGGCTTGATGCACAGATTACAGGTTAGGGTTCTGGTATTAGGATGAGTGTAGTAATGCAGTTATGTAGGCACCAAAGCTTTACATATTCCTTTTATAACAATTATAAAAGCAGCAGTGTGCTTTTTGCACATTACTCGCAAGAACATTTCAAACAATTCAGCACGGATTCAACATCAATTCCAACATCAGGCTGCAAATCGTGCGTCCCCTCGGCCAAAGCAATTTTTCTGTTTGTTATTTTTAACGATCCCGTATGTTTAAGCCCCCTCCCAAACAAAAAAAAATTGGCACTAAATCTGCAGTGGAAATTCTACACCACAAATGCAATTTCCAAAAATCCTCCGCCGCGTGGGCCCTCGGTCCGTGCCAGAGAGAAAGAGCGAGAGAGCTGGACGAGCCAGAGGAACGTGCCTCCCTTGTACGGCAGAAACGACGTGCTCCCCCCCCCCGCCCCCCCCCCCCCGCTTGTCTGACGGGTCACCCCAGGTCACGGTGAAGTCACGGCGCGGGAATTTAGCCTCTCCGAGGGTTGGCGAGGCGTCCGCGCGGTCATTGTGGACGCAAAGTGGCCGCGGCCATCATTTGTGTGGTTTTTTTTTCCCCCTCGCCGAGCCGCCAAGAGACGTTCGCGTGGCTCTATTTGGGAGAGAGAGAGGGCCCGAATAATCTGTCGTGTGGTAATGTCACAGCTCATTTATTCACTGCATTAAAAAGAAAGATGCAGTCCATGAAACGGTCGTCTTCGCTGTAGATGCATAAACCATGATGCGAAGGGGCATCCTCCCAGCGGCTTTTTGTCCAGCCATCAAACAAAGACGGTCACTGCATTGCACGCTTTGAGGTGCACTTCTGCGGCCGTCTCGAAAGCTCCTCTGACATGAGGAAGCCACTGGAGCGATGCGCTTTTAAAATCTAGATTCACAACTAATTTCTTTAGAACTCCTTTGTGTGTTTAATTTGTTGTCCTTCCACCGCACCTCCGGTTCAGCACGGCTGGCGCTACGTAGGGTGCAAAAGAAGTTCAACATACATGCATGCATGGGACGTGTGTTCTGGGCCATCACACGTGACTTTTGAAGCTTCGTTGAGGAAAAAAAGCAACTTTCCATTTGTGATTAAGTGCATCGCTCATGGCCCTCACGTCCCACCATTGTGATGTCACTTGCACGTGACAATCAATACTGTCGTGGTTAAGTTTGTCAATCCACTGCCGGCTGAGGGCCTCCTCATACCATGCAGACAGTGAGGAATAGCTTTTAACCGTACAGTATTTCTCCGTGTCAACATGTACAGTACACTGAAGAAGGAATTTGTATTTGCGTTCGCAGAAGTGCCGGTGGTAAAAATGCATGGCGCTCCACTGATCCATTGCACTGGATCAGACAAATTGCCCCACGGCACCAGATTGGCAGCAAACGCAAGCCTCTGCTGAAGCTGTCGCAGAACAAAGAGACCCCGTGTAGCCTTCACGGACCGTAGGAGCAAGTGCTGCTCGCGAGTAGCGCATATGAAGGTCGGCACGGCACACGAGGCAATGGCCGCCTTTGTCTCCCGAGCGACGATGTCATCTGAGGCTGAGTTGACCTAGGGGAGGCCCAGGACCGATTCAAATGATCGTCATTGATGCTGGGAATCGAGCGGGAATCGAGCCGGGTCGCCAGGTTCGAAGCGCAGCGCGCTGACCGCTACTACACTCCCGCCGTGACGGGAGGTCACACGACCCAGCAGCAGTGCCAACGGGACCTTTGGCGACTCTGCGTGATGAATGGCACCGCACTGCCCTCTTGTGGAAGGGTTTGCGCTCCTTTGCGTGAGAGATCGTCGTCCGTGTTGCCGTGCTCGGTTGCATCACGTGCCCAGAGGAATCTTTGCTCTTTACCAGAAATCGGATCGCTCAATTGGTCATCATCAAGTGTGTGACTTGAAACCTCCTGAGTCACGAGGTGGCCAGCAGGTAACAGCTCGGATCATTGCGCGATGATTTGTGCCGTCATTAACGTTCGGTCTGTCCCCTTCTTATGCTGAGTTTTTTTTGTTCCAGGGTACTCTCTACTCGAGTTACCTTCCACGTGTAAACTATGCATAATAAGGCTGACCAAAGGTTCCTATCCAAGATCCTGCTTAAATAGATTATCGAGCCTCAGTGGCCCCTTTCCTGGTTAATTAATGGACAAGCAATATTATGATAATGTTTTTTTTTTATCATCACGTGGACTTTGCACGAGGTTTAGCTGTGCTATGCATCGTACGGTCACGCCCGCGGGCTGTTCCACACAACGTCCGACGTTCTGCCGCACGTGCCGAGAACTTCTTCAGAAACCAAAGCGGAACGTTGGACACATCGGAGAGCCGTACGGCAAGGCCGCGTAAAAGTTAAAAAAAGGAAAACTACGCAGTCGTATTTCGCACAGTTTCATTTGCGCACATCTGCCGATTGCATAACAGATTCGAATAACATCTTGAACGAGTGAACTTCGGGCAGAGGGGACTTGGGCTGTGTCCAGCCGGGAGCAGGACTTGGAGAGGAGTGGAGGAATTACAGGAACGCTGCTGCCGTGGGTCGCCGATAAACCACTCAGCGTGTGGGCATGCCACGGTTCCCACTCACTTGGCCGTTAGTCCGAGGCCGCTTGCCCCCATCGTGTCTAAACCAAACTATTTATTTTATTTTAACCAGGTAAGGCCCGCTGAGCTTCAGAACTCTTTGTCAGAAGCGACCTGGCCATCACAAATGATAGCTCAACGAAGTGGCTCATCGTGTGGAAATGCATAGCAGCCAGATACTCTAAATGCACGCTTGATTCTTCACGTGGAGGGGGAAACCGGAGGACCCAGAGATAAATCCACACGACCACGAGGAGAACGCGCAGACTCCCAATACACAGCAGGCGTCAGGGTTGGGATCGAAACCACGACCTCCTGCATGCCAAGCGAGGGAGTTAACATCTCACCATCAATGCGCCCTCTATCCCTCGTCATGCTTGGATAGGAATACAGATCAAAGCAGCTTGGAGTGCACATATATAATATATACATGGATGGGTGCGTGCTTACAAATGAACTGAGAGACAAAATGAAATACGTGGATTTGAGAATACGTGCAAGGTGAAAACACCGTCCTCACTGTCAATAAAAGCAAGTGGGCTTGTGGCAGGACGTGTCACTTGATTGTATTCTGGCCGATGGTAGAGACTGAAAATGGAGTGGCAGACAAGGGAGGGAAGGCGCCTAAGAGAGCGCGCCCACCGTAGAGATGGAGCGATGGAATCAGCTCATGACGGCAGCTTGTGCGGGCCTTCATCCAACAGTAAATAGATCACGGCTGACGATGATTTCCTCGCACCTCCGATTTGCGCGGTAGTCTTAAGTACGGTGCGAAAGAACGTCAACATACATACATTACATACGTAATGATAATGATATATATCGGAGCCTATATCCCTGCTGCTCTCTGCTCAGTAATCACTTCGAAACACACTTTGCAGGAGTGGAACGTCTCAGACCACTGTCACGAGCAATATATATTGCCAAGCAGCGCAGGGTGGATAGCAATGGCACATTCGGAAAGAGATGTGGCTGCTTTGCGGAAGCGCTGCATACAGATTCACTGCAAAGCCGCACAAAGGATTATCAATGAACCCCTCGGAGATCTCCTGTGCACAGGCCACAGGGCAGTTCAAAGGGGAGTTACGCTTGTATAGGGTGTATTCAATACAACAAATGGGATTGCCTTGCAAGCAAGCGGCCGTGGAAGGATTTAAAAGTCCACGCACTTCCACAGACATGATACAAAATAATCATTAGCGTCGACCAGGGCCGGATTAAGGCACGGGGGCTTTAGGGGTTGCAGCCCAGGGGCCTCTGCCAGCTGGAGGGGCCTCCAGAGATGAAGTGAAAACTTATTTCATTTGTGAATGCTGAATTTTATTTGTTGTTAGACTTGTAAAAAATCAATTTTATTTTTCTTCAACTTTGTTTTCCTTTTTAAAATATTACTGGGAGGTTCGCAGTACCTGTAGCCCAGGGGCCGACACAATCATAATCCGGCCTTGGAGTCGACCAATATCTAACAGAGAGGGTCCTTGCCTACGACCAGCTGTCCGTTCACCAGCATTGGTTTAAAGCGAGCCTCACTCTGCTGATGAGACACTGAATGTCGAATCCGGCCCAGTATTTGCTTGCGTTGAACCAAATCGCTGCTGCGTGCATGTACGTTGAACTTCTTTCGCACCGTACGTGGCCAACCGGTGCCCACGGGAGGTGCGGCGAGCTGTGTGGCTCGTGGTACGTGAGTGGGGTGCCGTTGCCTGCTCGTGTGTTTCGTGGTGCGGAACAAACGGAGAAGAGTGAACGTGAGAGCTGAAGTTGTTGGGTCTGGCAGCGCGAACGCACGGCCAAAGTCGCGTGAAAGAGTCATGTCCGTTGGACATTCATTATTTTTTTCTTTCCATTTGAATGTTTTGGTTGCCCAAATTGATCTTATTTGTAAAAAAAATTTGGCAGCGGTGCACGCAGCACAACTAAGAGCGACGCTCAACACATTCGTCAACACAGCGCCCTTAAAAGATAAAATATATTTTCGGCGACGTTTCATTTATGTGCTGTGATGAAGGGCCGTTGCCACAATCGTCACCCATTATAGCATTTTCCTTTGAAGGCCACAACAGTGTTATTGACTAATGTGTTGAGCTTTGTTTTCCATTTTACATAGTGTTGACATTTTAACATGTACTGTACAGCGCTTTGTGTTCTTTGGACGACAGGCGCTGTGTAAAAATAATAGGCTATCACTGTACTTATTATTAGTGGTGTGATAAGATACCTAAAGAACAGAATTATTTTGTTCAGTAAATACGGTTTGTTCACGTTTTGTTGGGCAATAAGAGGAGGCCAGAGTACTGCTGGATGCGGGTTCACGAAGGCTGGGGAGCATACGTAGTACAATACAACAATGATATGTTGTATGCGCCGCTCTTTGCTACCCACGACTGGCAAGGCCAGAGTATCGTGTCATATCCGTTTAACAAAAAAAAACGCCAAGGATTTTTAGAATGAATTATTAGAATTCAGGGTTTGCTTTATTTTCGTTGTGAGTTAAAATATTTATATTTTGAGCAATTGTTTTTTTTTACAATCGTGACTTTACCGAAATAACCAAGAATATGAATTCCTGCAGTGACGAAAGTTTTAAGTAAAAAAAAAATTGTTCTAAGTCGTCTTGGTTACATGCTGGGGTTTCTACGCTGGGGTTTGTACGCCGTGTTCTCATGCGTGCACAATTAATGTCTAATGATTTAAAACAAAATCTAATTTTAATTACACAACGGCTGTTGCTGCATTGCTTAACGCGGTTAGAATGCGATATTTTTGCCGCACATCTAAATCCACGTCTGCCTTGAAAGTGAGGTTCCTGATTTAAATATTCTCCTACCTGCTGATCAAATACATTCCATAATTTAACACTGTGCTTTAGAGTGATGGCGAATTAGTGCAAGTCACTAATGACCATACTGGTTTTATTTTTTCGCCAGAATGGTTATGATATTGTGCTCACTGATTAAAATTGCTCACTTTAGTAACAATTAGTCATTGCGTTATCTATCATTTTGACCTCATTTGCTTGGTTGCAATTTTATTACAATCCTGATATAATTGTTGCTCTTGTAATTGACATTGTGCTAGAGGTTTGTCTTCATATAATTCCAAATGTTTCACCACGTGACGTATTGCATCCCAGTCGAATTCTCACTGGTATTTTAATGAAGGAGATGAATAGCTGATTAAGTAACTCATTGATTGATTAATGTAGTTCACTGACTAACTGATTTGATCACTGATTCACTTGAGTTTTTGTTGTTGGTAAGTTACCAATTCACGTATTTCTCCACTGACTGACTAAAAGGTTACTTGGTTAACTCACCGATTTGACCGACTTATTTATTGGTTAACTAATTAACTTCTTGACTAAATGACTGACAGACTCGTGCTAGTTAATATTCTTATTAAATCGCGCAATACATGACTGATAGGGTGATTGACCAATTCACTGTTTGATTGATAAATTATATAAAGGAACATTTATGTATCTCTCTGCATATTAAAAACATCATAATTTTGTGATTAATCCATCAGCTTTTATGGGTCTTTCCTGACCAATATAATACATTTTGATTTAAAGCTTTCGTGACTGCAGGGATTCATATTCTTGGCTCTTTCGGTAAAGTCACGTAGAAGGGAAACAATAAAATAATAAAAAATATAATATAAAAAATACAATTCTCACGACGTTTCGACTGCAACACAAGCAATCATCATCAGGTGTGAAAACCACAACAATATATATATATTTTTAATGTTCTTGTTGTGGTTTTCACACCTGATGATGATTGCTTGTGTTGCAGTCGAAACGTCGTGAGAATTCAATTGTTTTATATTTTTATTGTATTGTTTCCCTTCTACGTGACTTTACCGAAAGAACCAAGAACACAATATGATACAGTAAACCCTGGACTTGTTTTAACCTCCTGGTTCTCCATCAGCATCGCGACGCTTGCTGATCAAATGCCGCCGGATTTCCAGATGCTGTAACGCGCTATACACTCTTCTTTTTGTTTGTTTTTTACCAGCGAAGTTCCCACGGCGCTTTACGCCACTTTATTGAGAAGCGACCAGCTGATGGGCACCGCGCCGCCCATCACAGGTCGCTCGCCAACGCCGCTTGCCCCCCGACAGTCCGCTTGAAGGCTACGCGCTGGGGTGGGACCTCCCCTCCGTCTGTTTTTTTGCGTGTGCGGCTGCAGTGTAGCCGCACGTGCGGCGAGGGCGTGCGCGCGCGCCACGTCGTCTGCGCCGAGGGCGGCAAGGCGCCCGTGCGGGACGAGTTGTGCCGCGCCGACGCGAGGCCTCCCGCCCACGAGCGCTGCTCGTCCGCCGGGTGCGACTTCATCTGGGTCACGGGCGACTGGAGCGCGGTGAGCGTCGCGTCGCTCTGCACACGCCGCGTTAGCCGCCAGCTCGCACTGGCTAACTGGCCGTTAATTAGCGAGCGGGCTCCCTTTCCCTAAGACCTCTCCACAGCATTTGTGTACGTGTGTGTGTGCGTGTGTGTCAGCGCAGCAGTTAGAGGTTAGTGGTTAGCGCGCCGTGCTATGAACCCGGCGACCCGAATTCGATTCCCCGCCAATACCAGTGACGATTATCTGAACCGGTCCTGTGCCTCTCCTAGGTCGACTCAGCCTCAAAATAAGTAACTCGTGCAGGAAACATCTCAACTAGGGAGACAAAGGCGGCCTGGGGTGGTGCTGGCCACCCACCCCTCCTGTGCGGTGCCGGCCTTCGTAGGTGCTCGCTAACAGCACTTGCCCCAACAGTCTGTTAGTGTCTATTTTTTGTTATTTTTGTCCTGGGTGCGGGTGTAAGGTGGCGTTGTTATCGCTGGGCAAATGAAGGTTCTCCCGCCACCGGCCAACTCTGCGATCGCACTGATACAGTCATTGTCTTGATTTGTGGCGATACATTTCTCGCCGCCAACTATTGCCGCAATCGTTTATAACGTGCGAAAGTTTAATGGCTCGCCGAGACATTTCCACTATTTATTCACTCCAGCTCGCTGAATTGTAAACTTCCACTATGTTATTCTCTCAAGTCATAAACTCCCAATGTTTATTCACTCAATTAGAAACGATCACCGTTCATTCACGGAATATGAAAAAAAAACACTCCCCCACTCTTCGATCACGTATTTATCGAGTACTGTTGCAAATTCACTCAAATCATACATTAATAATTCACTGAACACCAATGCATCACCTTGGTGGTGAGATGTTAACTCCCCCCGCCTGGTTTACAGGATGTTGTCCATTCGATTCCGGCCCTGATGCGTGTATATTTGGAGTTTGCATGTTCTCCCCGTGGTGGCGTGGAATTTTATCCGGGGTCCTCCGCTTTTTCCCTACACATTTGGAATCAACGCCACGCGTTTAAAGTATTTGGCTGCGAAATATTTCCACGCGATGAGCCCACTTCGTTTGAGCTATCATTTGTGGTGGCCAGGTCACTTCTGAAAAAAGAGCCACATAGCTCAGTGGGCCTTACCTGGTGAAATAAAAGAAATAGTTCATCAGTTAGTTTAACACGTAGGCTTTCGTAACCAATATTATCCGTAATGGAGGTTTTTTTCCATGTTAGATCGCGTAAATATGAATGCGTCGTTAACCCGCCACCACCCGACACAGCCAATTACTCAGGTTTGTGACATAAACAAAGCTTGCCAATTAGTTACTTTTTCAGCACACTGGTGTGACGGAGAAACGCACAAAACATTTACAATTTAAGTTCTGTGACGTTCAGGCCAGTCGACCACAACAACCAGCTTCATCGGGGCGATTTTCCAGAATTGTGAAGAAGTCTTCCCATTTCGGTCCTCCCCCACAGTGCTCTGCGTCGTGCGGCCCAGGCTACCAGCAACGCCTCGTGTTCTGCTCCGAGACTCACGGCTCGACTGGCGAACACTTCCCCTACGGCTATGGGAGCCACAGTCAGCCGCCCCGCCCGAGCACTGTGGGGGGCGCCCCCCGCTCCCCCCAAGGCACCGTCGTGGGGGGCCAGGAGGCTCGCCCGTCCTGCCCGCACCCCCGGCCGCCCGGCACGAGGCCGTGCGACATTCGCGAATGCTCCTCCCCGGCGCCGATGCCACCCCAGGCGGCTCTGCCCGTGCGGTGGAGGACCGGGGCCTGGAGTCAGGTGAGAGCTTGGGGGGGGGAGCCGTAGCCAACCGCGAGCTAACCGGAGGTGCTATAGCAGCTGTATTCATGCATGCATGTTGAACTTCTTGTGCACCGTGCGTGGCCAACCCTGCTAATCAGAGGTGCGGGGCGTTCGTACGTGTGAACATCGTTGTGGGCGAGACGCGACGTCTTGGGAGGCGGTGTGCTCTCCCACACCGATCTCTCTGCCCCCTTATTCCCTCAATGTCCTCCCATGCCCCCCACTCCACCCACCCACCCCCCCCTCTTCAACAGTGCTCGGTGTCTTGTGGTGACGGCTGGGCCGAGAGGCCAGTGCGGTGCCTGACGGGCGAGGGGCGTCCCAGCGACGCCTGCCCCCAGGAATCTCGGCCCACCACAAGGCAGCAGTGCCACGGGCAGCCTTGTAAGTTGGCAGGGGCCCCGCCAGCGGCCGTGGGTTACCACCGAGGGACGGGAGCTCGCTGTACCGAAGTCGGGGGGGGGTGGGGAGGAGGCACATTTGTACATCTACATCATGAAGAACGTAATGTGTCCATCTGTCATTCAATTAGTAATTGTTGACGTAAAGAATCAAGAGAGGGCTCGGGGCTCGCCATGACTGGACGCAACTGGCTGGGGCCCGTGGCCTTGATGCTGATTGAGCCACGGAGAACTTTTGACGATAGGTTAAAAAAATCGTGACGGAACATTTTCACCAGAAGAATTTCCAAATTTTCGTCCCGATTTTTCCTGTGGAGATGAAGAAAAACAGGTGTTATGAAGGTGACAAATATAGAATTTTGGAGGCACTTAAAACGTAAACATTTGCAAATGTTTTCTCCTGATGGAATTGCAAGCACAACGCAGCTTATAAGTTATCCTTTTGATGCATCACTTACATCGTCTGGGGAACAACAAATGTTTTTGTTCAATGTCGTGACCGTCAGCTCCTCCGTCCTGTGCTATGATTTCATTGTCATGGGATTCTCACCATATGCATTTTGCTCCATTGTTTTGTTGTTGGTAATTTCGCAACTTCAAGTGGCTCATAATATCGATTGACAAAGAAAGGGCCATTGCCCAAAACGACACCTATTATATATGTTTTCTTTTAAAGCCACAGTGTTATTGACAAATGTGAGGTTCTTTTCTTCGTTATTTGTGTAACCACTGCCAACGCAGTATCACCAGATAACGTATATATAATGATACTTTGGGAAAAGTAAAGGAAGCTGAGATTACAACACTTGGGTGATATTATGACTTCCCGTTTTGCGTGTGCTTGTTTGGGGAAGTGGTGACTGATTTCATCCACTGCACCGTGAACCCGGAGACCTGAACTTGATTCAAAGCCAAGGATAATATGTGGCAAGTGTGGTTACGAGCTGTCCCTGGCCTCCGCTAGGTCAGCTCAACCTCCAATGAGTACCTCATTCATGCTGTGCGTAAACACGAGCACTCGGGAGGCAAGGGTATGGTGCTGTCCACACCACCCATTGCGTTCAATGTTGGCCTGAAAGAGGTGTTCACTAAGAGTCTTTGCCCAAACATTCCGTACGGCTGTAGAGATTGACCTTGTGCAAATTTTGCATAGCCTATATGTGCGTGTAAAAATTTCACCTAGCCTGGCAAAAGAGCTGCATCGATGTCGCTGCCGTTCTGTTAGAGTGGAGTGTGCCAGCTGTTGTGTTTGTCCATAATGCAGGTTTTTTTTTGGGTTAGATCGCGTAAAAATATAAATGTGTCGTTAAAACCCGCAACCACCCGACACAGCCAACTAGTAAGGGTTGTCACGTAAACAGAACGTGCCAATTCGTCACGAGTACAGCACACCGGTGTGTTGGAGAGCCAAGCCACAACATTTTCAATCTGAGTACGACGTTTCGCCAGTAATTACAATTTGCATCATCACCGGTGTGCTGTACTAGTAACGAATTGGCACGTTCGGTTTACGTGACAACACTTACTAATTGGCTGTGTCGGGTGCTGGCGGGTTTAACGACACATCTATATATTTACGTGATCTAACCCAAAAAAAAAAACCTCTTATGGATGATATCTGTCGCGAAAGCCTCCTGCGTGTTAAACTGTTGTGTTTGCGTGTGCGTCGCGTGTGTGTCTCTGGCACAGGCGGCTAACACAATTCACCATTGTGTTTGTGTGCAGGCGAGAAGGCTTCTAGCTGTGCTCACGTACAGGTCCTGCACGGGGCTAAGGATGACGGGGAGTACCTCATTAGCATCGGCGGCAGAGACGTGAAGGTACACAATTTACCTTGTCGCGAGACGGGCAACACACCGGCACAACTTAAATTTGTCTGCGCACTTCATTAATCCTGAACACTGCACGTACGTGAATACCGAGGGGACCGATTGTCATCATAAGCGAGCGTTACTTTTTAGAAAGATTTTTTTTTTCAAGATCCCACCGACGTATCCATCGCTAATGACGTGGGCAAATCGCCGAGGCATTTCGTCACGATGGGAACCTGGCCTGAAATGTTATCCGCGGCTCACCATCTGGGGCGGCACGGACTCCGTGCCACATGGGTCTTATTGCACTGCCCATTCACTGTGCGCGGGACAACTTTAAGGTATTTGCCCGTTTTATCAGCTCAAACCGGCGTATCTGCTGATATTATATTGATTCCCCATGTGTCCATTTGTTACAGAATACGTATATAATCTCAGCAGTGAATCTTTCCCTGTATACTATGGTGGAATATTTCACTTTTAAGACGTATCAAAAGCTTGTGACAGGCAAGTAAAACCATACTCAGCGACAAATAGAAATAACTTAATTGTGATTTTTAATCCAATATCATCATCAGCCATGGTCTATTCACGTGCTTGATGGAGGGTCCCAAGCCACCTTTGATGCTCCTGCGATGCAATAATCCACCCTGGACCAGTACCCCGGTGGCCGTCTCCTCTATTTGCCATATTCACTGGGGTTTTGTTTTTCTTCAGATATACTGCTGGGGCATGGAGTCGGCCAGCCCCAGGGAGTACATCACGCTGTCAAGCGGAGAGGCAGATAATTACTCGGAGGTGTTCGGATACAGGTGCGTTGCTGCGTGTGCGGCCTGCAGGGTGCTTCCGGTCAACTCCGCGTGCCCGTGCCTTCTCCATTAAATGAGGACTTAACCCAAAAAAACAACAACTACATCTTGTTTTGTAGGTACCGGACCTGGAGTTGATTATAATTACAGCCAGCAGTGTTAGCCGGAATTACAATTACATAATGATTGGACTTCATTGCGAATGACACAATTACAGCTGTAATTGATTCCAGGTTTTGGAGGTGCACACTTTGGCTGTGTGTGTGCGCTAAGCCACCTGCCGTGAGTTTGAAGCTTCGTTAATGAGAAATCAAATATATTTTATAATGAGTTCATCGCTGCAGCGAGTTCATCGCTGCAGCTGCAGCGATGAACTCGAAAGTCAATTTTAAGTCTTTACTAACGACGTTTTAAGCTGGCGGCAGACAAATCATGGCATCAAGTCAAGTGGACATGTAACGGTGCCTTAATTCACTTATATCAATTTTATTCCTGTGCTCGTGCTGCATGAATGGTGTGAACGAGAATCTATTTTATACAGCTGATGCAAATGACAAGCTTTTTTTATTTTTCCACGTAGGTCAGCAGAGTAAATACAAGGGTACACGAGAGAGAAATGTGTGCCAAACAATGAAAATTAGATGGTTAAAAAAAAGAATGTAGGCGAAACATTGTAGACCTTTGAATTGTGGTCCAGAATCATGACAACGCAATATACGAGATGGAACCGTTTTTGCCAGTATCATACTTTGATGACTTGTAGCTGCTCACCCTGATCTATAAATGCCCTGATAGTGGCATTGTCTTTGTACTGTTCACCTTTTAGCGCTGTCTGGTCTGACACTGGTGAGACTAGGCCCTAAAGAAGGCTCCCTCTGGTGTATACAAATCAGTTTCAAAGGCAATGTCATATATTATCAGAGCATGTTTTGTTTGCATGTTCACCACAAGTACTGTGCGTGGTTAATGCGAACTTAATTCCTTGCAAAAGGTTTACATTTGGTGTTTGAACAAATTAACACCTCCTGTTTTATTGCCAGAAAGGGTAAAAGCTATTCTTGTTTTTTTTTATGCAATATAGGAGCTCTGTGCTATTTTTACTTATTTTTTGGGTCACATCTTAAGGAGACCAGGTTCAGTGTGCTGATATTCAGCGTGAGCAGCGGTGGCTACGCACGTGGCTGCCTGTAATCCAGCACTGTGGAGGCAGCGAGGGTTTGGTGGATCACCGCGCAGATGTTGCGAAACTCCCTTCCCCGTGGGCGTCGAGATGCCACACCCTTGCTCGCCAGGAGAAGGCGGTACAGCAAAGTGCTGACGTATAATTTGTCCCTTCTGCATGGGCCAGAGTGGGCCGAGCCATCCCCTGCTGAAAACCACCCTCCTAAATCCTTAGTCGAAAAAATGTTGGGACAATATTTCCTCAAATGCACAGGGGCGGTGAGACCTACAGCAGAATGCACGATAGACAAACGCAGATTGGACCATTACTCATTCTGCAAGGCCACTCTGCAGAATGCGGGGCAAGGCGATAGCTAGGGACCGCCACCGCTTCCCTCTGCCCCCCCCCCCCCCCTCCGACTGCCCCCCACCACTCTCCCCTCTTACTGTGGTGCCGGCACGACCCCCACCAACGGTGCGAGCCACCAGCCGACAAACTGCTTGCTTGGTTTGAGAGTGGGTTTGAACCCATTCTGGCAATGAAACAGGTTGTGTTAATATGTAAGGAATCCTGTCTGCATTAACTACACACAGTACTTGTGGTGAACATGCAAACAAACAAAAAAACATGCTCTGGTAGTATATGCGTTATCTTTGAAACTGATTGGGCCACACCAGACACAGCTATCTTTAGAGCCTAGTCTCAAACAGTGCTAGTTTTGACGTCTTAACGCACCTGTTTCGGTGCCAGAAAGGGTAAAACCTATTCTTATATTATGATGCTGGCAAGGGAGGTCCCATCATTGCTTGCTTGGTTTCAGACAGTGTGGACACACATTCGGGTGATGCCCCCCCCCCACCTCCCAACCCCTCCGACCCCACATCGAGATGGGCCCCTCCCCCCGTGCGCCCACCCCCCCGTGGCACTTGCTCTGGCGGCACCGCTGCATCACCATCGTCGTCATCGGGATGGTCGACGGAATAAGGGGCCATTCATTCAGTACGTACGCATGGAGCGGGGAGGGGGGGTGGTTCACCCAAATGCGTGCGCTTACGTATAGGGGGTCTACTGACAATGCAAGTACGCATCGGGGGTGAAGCCTCGATAACAATTTGTCTACATTGGCCTTCAAATGAGCCACAGTTCAGTGTATTCAGCTGTCAGACCACAAGTACTGACGGGAGAGGTGTCACTTGTGTGCCACCGTGCCCCTGACTGCGAGCTATCACGCAGCTCAGCAAAATGAGTGGCCGAGGTACGCAACTTAATTATTTAATGCAGCCGGCGGTGGACTATCTGTTTGCTTAAACACGTTAATATTATTATTATTCCTTGATCGTTTCTGCATGGATTAAATTTCGGCCGTTCTATAGGATTCGGCGGGGGGGGTGCGTCAAGCGTACTAACGCAGGTGGTGGGTGGGGGGGGTGTAAAAAGTACGCGTGCGTACAGGGAGGGGGGGGGAGGGGTCAAGTTTCGACAGATTTTTGCGTGCCTACTCCATGCATGTCCCCTGCCTACTCAATGGATGGCCCCTGCCTACTCAATGGATGGCCCCCTAACGGCCGTTACCCGGTGCGTCACTCCCCCCCCACTCCCTCCACCCCGGCAGGTTGCACAACCCCTACGAGTGTCCCTACAACGGCAGCCGCAGGGAGGACTGTGCGTGCCGCAACGACTACCTGGCCGCCGGCTTCTCGGCCTTCAGCCGCGTGCGCCTGGACGTCGGCACCATGCAGATCCTCAGTACGCCCGTCGCGTTCGTAACGGTCCCCCCCCACCCCCCCCTCTGCAACAATGACGATGACGACGACGATGAGCGGAACAGAGTCGCCCGCTCAACTTCCCCCGCCGCCGCCGCCGCGTCGATCCGTCATGCCACGTGTCGCGCTTTCGGACGTTGGCGGTTGTGCGTAGATCAGATTGCGAATCCGCAGCTATTTGCACTTTGGTGCAGCGTGTACTGTACGAGGTGTAAGTGGGTAGTGGTGGGGTTGTTGTTCCTTTCTTCCATGCGCCAAAGCAACCGAAATACCTTTCATCATTATTATCATCAGCCGATCTAGCCACTGTTGGATTAAGGCCTTCCCCGGGCCTTCCCAATCCCTCACGTTCCTACACTGCGACGATTTACCAAGCACATGCACACGAGCTGATCTCACTTCGAAAATAACAGCTGAGGAATGATTATGATAATTTTCACGTGTTACTTACGTATTCATTTAAGGCAATTCTTCGAAACGATAGGCTTCCGTAGGCCAATATCGTTATCCGTGAAATGTGCCGTTCTAGAGCGTCTCCGGAACGTATCACCTCGCGAACACAACGGGGAAACGCTGCCTTGCGATTGAAATGTTACGTCCGTTGGCCGCCGCCGGCCGATCACGCGTCCCTTACCGTGTTTCCACAGCCACCGATCTGCAGTTCTCCCAGACGCTTTATGGACGCCCCGTGCCCTTTGCCACGGCCGGGGACTGCTACAGCGCCGCCCGCTGCCCGCAGGTACGGGCGGCGCACGCCGTGAAATCGTCGCGCACGCGCGCCTCCGGTGTTGTCCAGGCCGACCGGCGGACGGGTGGCTAAGGACACAGGGCGCGCGCTTACGCTGCGTAGGTGTTGCATACAGGGTGCGGTGGCGCGGTGGGGTTTGCACATGATGTGTCTGTGGCGGAACTTCTCTCGCACCGCTCGTCGCCGACGGCGCTGAGATCGGAGGCGCGCGTTGCGCCTGCGGACCCAGGAGACCCCAAGGTCATCTATGAGCTCTACGTGAGTGCCTGCTACAACGTCTAGACATCAGCACTGGGGGAGAGAAATGTGTCCAGGTGATCCGCGAGAGGACCCGATTGTCCCTGCTGCCTCCGTTCCCGGTACGCTGCTCGCTACGTAAGCACTCGGCCAATGCCAAGTCACTCTTGTTGCAGGGCCGCTTTAGCCTCAACCTGTCGGGCACGGGGCTCATGGTGTCGGAGGCGACACGCTGGGCGTCGCAGGGAAACTACGCAACCGTCGACGTCCTCCGATCACCGGCGAGTTCCTCCGCCTCTGCCCCCACCCCCCCGCGGCACAGACACAGACACAGACACGCAGACACAGACACGCAGACACAGACAAAGACACGCAGACCAATCCCTGCGGCTACACCGCCACGGGCAACAAGCAAGGCAGCGTGTGGCGCGTAGGATCCCACGGGGCTCCGTCGTCCCAGTAGTGGGGGAGGGGGGGGTTCCGGCTCAGGCTGCGTGTTTGAGAATTTATCCTCTTGAGCTTTCGCCACGCGCTGCTACCGCCATCGTCGAGAGTTGGAAGGGACTGGCCACGCCACCCACTCTAGTGCCAGCCCACTCTCGGTGCTTGTTGCCACATCTACATGGAAGGGGGGGGGGGGCTTGCACAGAGGTGAACGTAGAGATTTCCCCAAAGTTGGGGAGGGCGATCCCGAAATGTCAAGCTTTTTGTTTAAATAGGGCCCTCTGTTAATTGACAAAAACATTGCCCACACCTTGGATCTGCCACCGGATCTCTGAGCACGTCTGTGGGTTTGGGTGTTTGTGTGCGCTGTGCGTGTGGCGCGCGGGGAGTGCGAGTGCGGTGGTTAGCGCACTGGCGCTACGAACCTGGCCATCCAAGTTCGATTCTCCACCACTGACGAAACGAGTGATGAATATCTGAACTGGTCCCAGACCTCCCCCTAGCTAGACTCAGCCTTAAATTGGTACCTAGTTCAGCGCGTAAATGGCAGCACTGGATAGACAAGGGTGGTCGGGCGTGGTGTTGGCCAACCTCCCCCTCGTGTGCTATGCAGACCTTAATAGATGACTTGGAACAGGTCTTGCCCCTACAGTCTGTTAAGGCTACGCGGATAATCTTTTTCTTTATTCGTCAATTTTACCACGCACTTTTTTTCTGCGGTTGTGCCGAATGGCTTTCACGCTGTGTTTTCAGGTCGTACCGGTTGTGGAACTGAATTCTAACTCTTGAGAATTAATAATGCCAGTCTGACCGCCAGCCCACAAACATTGCTTTGCAGCAGGATGTGTGAGAAAGTGCATCCACGACTGAGCACGTATGCATATATTGAAAAAAATCAGTCGATTGAAGAGACCTCAGAAGTAGTTCTGTGATGTCACCTTCTGCAGCCTGTTCTCTAACACAGAGGATAAGGCCATAGAGGAGATCTTTGTCTTTGTTGAATGTGGTGTTCGTGCAAGGGTCTTTCGACGGACAGGTACTCACTGGCTCTTGCCGTCTCCACGTTTGCTCTGCTCTCTCCTGCGACAGGACGGTACGAAAATATATGGCAGGTGTGGCGGTTACTGTGGGAAGTGCATCCCTCATTCCAGCACGGGGCTCAGGCTACGGGTCGCAGCGTGACGCTCGGCCCGGCCTGCTACTGCTGGCCACGGTGAGTGGGGCCTTGCCAGCCAACGACCGAGATTAATGGCGAAAAACAGCACTTGTCTTCCCGAGTTGGCAGGGGGAACGCCGGCGTTCTCGTCTCGCCCCTCCTGCCTCCCGCCCCAACTGCTTCTGGCTCTCCTCTCCTCTTGTTTAGCTCTTTGTTTCGTCTTCTTTAGTTCTCATAGCCTCCTTTTTCTTGCTCTTCTGTCGGAATGTTTTTTAATATGTCATAAAGTTTTTTTCTCCCCCCATCATTAGTGCCCTGAGAACGATTGTTTAAGGGCGCTGTATAAATTTGAATTATTATATGGGGGGCGGTGGGGGGGGTAGGGGGGGGTGTCTTTGTCTCTATAATGAGCAAGGTGAGTATTGTGATGTCTGGCCGCACCAGTCGCAAACGATGAGCTGCGGCCGACTGTTCTGTTTTGTTCGTTGTCTTCAGGAGTGAAGCTGTGGCAGCTTGAGCTGGAAAGAAAATCACCTGCAGAAGCAATGCTACCTCGACAGTGGGACCTTTGATGAATCTACGCAATGGTTCTTGCTGAATTATTTATGTGTTTTGTCGAAATTTTCTTTTGATATTTTTTTTTTTACGAAACAATTGTAAGCTTTAAAAAATATATATATGTAATATTAATAATTATAGCTGTACATGTGTAAATACTCCCAATGTAACATACCAACGCTGATCGCACAGACGTATTTTGACTTTATATTCATACGGTGCTCTCGTATTAGTTTTTTTTAAAATCTGTACAGGTAAAATTTAATTGCCTTCCCTCGTAAGGTTGGCTGCTGTTGTTCGGTATAATTTAATAATTAAACGTCTCTGTTCAGAATTTTAAGTGGGGGGGGGGGGGCAGGAATATGACGCAACGATCGGAGATTCGCACGCGGTTTGAGACTTTGGCTGTTTACCAAAGCCAGATAAATTGCCTCGTCTTGATACTCGAAAAGCACACGGCTGTCTCTCTCCGTCAAGTTTTTTTTAAAATCACTTTTGCCAGTTTTTTTTTAGAGACTCATTTACCACATTTGCTGTGTTGGCCTAATCTCGATGACCGGGCAAATGGCTTGTGGCACAATTTTACGAGCAAACTGGACAATCCAGCCAACTAAGTGGGCCTTCACATTTGACAAAACTGATTTTTTTAATGCAAGCCCACCCAAGCACAAAGTGGGGTGGAGTACGCTCCGAATACTTGCGAGCCATTTTCGTAATTGAAAAAAAAACTTACGCAACCAAAATGGGATAGAATTTTAAAAAAAATATATTAAACATTCACACGATTGTGGCAAAAAAAATGTTTTTGTCATGCTTGCGTTATATAGACATTTAAATGGCCTGTACTTTCCAAGCCATTGCGAACTAACACTCGATAAGATATGCGTAGCATGCAAGGTCTTAGAGCGTCTATCAATCGTGCAGCTGCTACGTGAAGTTCAAAGGCCTGGATTGCAAACAAATGGTGCTCTACTGTTGTTTGTGTTTCAGTTTTACTTGCTTTGCATTTCATTTATCTATCGATGCCTTTTTTAGCATTTGGTAAGTTAACCAATATTCAGATTATGGATGTGGCACATTTTTATTCAAAATGGGGTGCTTGATACAAATAAATAACGCTAGTGTAGTTTTGTGTCTTCCTACCATCATATGAACAGATATTAAGCTATAACAAGATACTGTGGATGTTTTGTCAGCGTTTAAAACTGCCAACGGCTCGTGGGTTTTTATTTTATTTTCCTGAAGAAATCCACTGAGTTTTATTTGAATTAACTCAGTCGTTTCAGTAGCTCTTCACCAACACTACCTATTGCCTTTTAGTCGATTATTTTGTGTGTGTGTATGTATTCAGAGAACTGTGTTTACAACGAAGGTTAGCAGAGGCCAGCCGTAAGGTATTAAATTAAACACCAGACAGTGCTTTTCAGGATCTGCTGTTGCCGAATGTTACTTCTTTCAAACCTGATTTCTCATTCCGCTGAAAACACCCAGATTGTACTGTGGGTTTGCAGACGGTACCAAATTCTCCTACCCTTTTATGTCAGGCATTCAAATTAATAACAATAATAATGTATATATTTTGGACGTTCCCTTTTTTGCCTTTTATTTTTATTCGGATATCCATAAATACTGTCTCCTTTGCCACTGTGGGTGTGTCTGTGTGTGTTAACCTGGTTTCATATCTAAGTGCCAATGTTTTGGTTGATGCTCAGCAGTCATACCATATATTCTGCGTATCAGTTTACGGTTTACAGTTCCAAGTATTAACACAAACTCCTCGAGCCGGATTGTTTGAAATATATGTTATTATATATTTTTATGACTAGCAGAGTGGACATTAGACTCGAATCAGCTGCGCAACCGATGTTGCACATCGCCCAATGATGCAGGTCAATATGACATCTTCTCGCATTAAGCGTCGAGACGTGTGCAAACGTCTTTTATCCAATTTGTCAGCGAATTGAGAAGATTAGTTGACCTGAAAGATCGGCTGTTTTGAGCCCTGGGGGGGGCCAAGTGAAAGTTGCGACTTCACGAGATGTAAAAAAAAGAAACCCTTATACCGCAAATTGAATTTTCTGATTTGCATAATTGTGGGTTAAACTATTAAATACGGGGTTGCAGGTGACACAATGCTAGGGCCACCGAGAGGCATCGAGAGGCACCGAGCGACGTAACGCATGAACCACATTTTAATCGGTTGTGATCCGTGATATCTCCGTACGCGTCGGATTGTTTTTTTTACAATAACCCATGACAAAGCCATTAGAATGAATCATACACGGTGGCTTAGTGCTACAGCATCTACCATTACATCTGGCGCACGCACATTGTGACTGAAATCAACGTTGATGAAACTTACAAAAATAGGCCGTGCCTTACATATTTTGATTTCGAGGGAACCACTGCACAGAATGGACGAAATTACCCATTCAGTGTCCGAGCTTGGTGACGCTTTATTGGTAATATCAGTGGCTTCGGATTGAATGGTCACTCTGCCTGTCATGAAAAAAATGTGTGGGTTTTAATTGGAGCAGCCAAGCACAAGCTTAGGGAATACTTCCTGTTCACACAGAGTACTTCTATATGGTATTTTTTTCCCCATGGTGCTGCGTTATTGTTTGCTATGAGAACAGGCAGCGGTCGTAAATGGGAAGTTGAAGCAGCCCATTTAGGGGGGAGGGGGAGGCTTTGTGACACAGCAGACGGTTTTCTTTGATTCTGGGCGACCGGCCGAATTCACTCATTTATTTGTTTTAATTTTCTGTTATTTTTAAACATCGTACGGTAACGTAATCCAAATCGCTCACCGCGATCAAGCCATGCTTGTCAAAACAGTTGACGCTAATGTGGCTTGCGCGATTTAAGACGAGGACAATATCCAACTATGGCGGAGTGCAACTTTGTTGGCTGGGAGATGACGCGATGGCCGGTGTATGGCAGCTCTGCATTTCAAATGTTCAAATGCCGGGGCCTCGGAACGTGCGCGGCCAGCAGGCAGCCGTGACACCGCTCTGCCCTGAGCGCCGCTCGATCTGTCAAAAACTCTTGATGGTCCACGGTGCAAATTCTTTGCGGTGAATGGAAAAAATGGAACCTCATCTCGTTAAAGGGGGTGGCAAAACAATTATGTGCAACATCCGTGTGAAGAAACAAGTTACCCCGTGTTAACTTGCGTACCTCGGCTGTGTTCATCACGGATTTGAGTGGCTGAACACACCGCGCCGACTTGACTCTTTGTCTGATGTGTAGAGAATACCTCCAGAGGAAACCGCCTCACCCCCTGTTGTGGCTCTCTGCTCGAGTGTAAGTGGGGGAGCAGCGATCCTGGCTCTCTGCTCGAGTGTAAACGCAAGAGTCTTGTAACTCTCACCTGTCCCGTCGGTTACGCGCACCGCCGATTTATAATCGATTTTTTTGGGTCGGATCATGTAAGGATTGTGGCAACTGATCGATGACGCTGGCTGCGACTTCCGGCGAGACGTCATAGCCAATTGTTGAATGCTGTGGATTAATCTCCAACACTACCGATGTGGTGAAGCGGTAATACATTGGCACGTTTGTTTCACGTGAACATTTTTATTCATTGCCTGTGTCGGGTGGAGGAGGGTGTACGACACACATTTAGCTCAAGCGATCTCATTCGACAATAATGAATCGTAAACATTGGTCGCGAAGGCACACCAGATAAATTAACGCGCAGTGATGGCTCGTCCAGGGTTTGAGTCTAGGCCGTTGCGTACGTGGAGGGCGGGATTCATGCATGGTCTTTACTTGCTGCAAATATCCACCGCTTTGTAATGGTTAAAACGCAACACCGTAGCACTCTGATAAATGCCATCGGTAATTGGGTGATTAAGGCCGCTGCATCGCTGTGTGTATTACTGCCAGTTAGGTGGCAAAATGTTACTAGATTTGTTCGTATTTTAACTTTGGTTTAGCCTTAACAAGTCGTACATCACATTTATGAACGCTAACTGAAATGAACGAGGTAAATAACAGCTCTAAGAAGCTACGTTTCAGAACATCAAAGCGATGTATTTACCTTTTAGGGGACCGCGGTGTAATAGACGAATTGTGTTCCATTTTTCTGTCGCAATCCGCGCTTCTGTGCAGCACTGCCAATGCAATATCACAGCAGCAGCAGCAAAGAACAGCGGCGTTTCAATTACAGCATAGTTTTACATGGTGGGGGGGGGGGGGGAGCATGGGGGTGTCGGTAATGCAATCAAGTGAAGGAATTGGAATTAAATAAAGAGAGGCAAACCCCTCCCCCGCCCACCCAAAACAAAACAGCCGCCGTGCCTTCCAGTCCGTCCGTGAAGGTCCATCCAGCAGTGGGTACGACGAGGTGGCAATGCACACGCGCGTGGCAGTGAATGGGTGCAGAGCTGGACTGGGTGTGGATTCCCCGCTGTGCTGCGCGGCGCTTGTGGTTGTTTTTTTTTGGGGGGGGGGGATTGTTGTTGTTACAAAGACTTTCGTAGGTTCCCGTTCTCACGTTCAGGCAAATGTTGCACAAGTCGGCAGCACCAGGCCTCGATTGTTTTGTTCGTCATCGATTATATGTGCATTCTCTGAATTTCTGGTGTATTAAATGTTGGGGTTTGTCTTTGGTAAAAAAAAAGTTAATTAGTTGCACTTTTAAAAAAAAATAAAACGATGAGATGTGTTTTTTTTTTTAAAGTTAATGATGTGTAAAGCGAAATAGCTCAGCTGTTACAAGTGAAGACTGTCTTTTAAAATATCATTAAGCCGATGTACGGTGCTGGGATGTTTCAAAAACAATGTTTTGAAAGATCTCTAATCGGCGTTAGATATATAATATTATACATTTGTCTTTATTAATCACTTTCATTGTGTGCATTTAGTATTGTTATGATAAGTTATAGCAGTCATTTGTTTTGCACTTAAAGTTACGAAGGGACAACGGTGCGTTGGTTTTATTTGCTGTCAAGAAGCTGTCGTGCCTCATCATTGACACGCGTTACATAACGCATTCAGTCTCTGTATCAAATGTTTAATCATTCACTGTGTGCTGCTAACGCTAATTTGGTAAACATACATTGGCAAAGTAGTTTCTGTTGTCCTCACAAACCAACGTCTCAATTCAAGCAAACGCTGAAGATGAATTGAGCAAGGAATTACTGTGGCCACATCGCGCTAATGTATCCGTCCTCGTGAGGCCTTGTAGAAGTCAGGGAGGGCATGAGCCTGGTTGGCAGCTGTGCTAGGCGTTGCAGGCATGGGACTGGTTGCAAGGTGGCCAGGAGAAGGCAATGCTGAGTGACAGACTGGGTGGGGGTATTTTTAGTTAAACACCTGCAGTATTATTTACCAGGGCCGCTCCAGGGTTCGAACCACGAGCAAGGGGCGAATGTGCTACGGTACCGCATGGCCACGTCACCGCGACTTTCACATCACAATCCCATAATTGCCCCTTTTTCGAAGCCACGTGTGCTTTTATTCTTCGCCTTCATCTTTCTCCAGACAATGTCTCCGTCTCTTCTGCAGAAGCGCATTCCTATCGCGATTCAAAATTGGGGTTCCGCTCCATTGATTCCAACCACGGAGTTGTTTCTCGTCGATAAGCTCAAAAGGCACAGGGGCAGTGCACCTTTCCCACGCCGCCATAATTATAACCACGCTGTAAACTACTACCCCGCCCGTCAGGAACGCAGTGCGTGGAGGGTTGCTCTCGTGACAGACTCGTTCGGTTTGAGCATTGTACTTGTCTGTGTATTGAAGCGCAAATCATCCTTGAAGTGCCTTCAATCACTCGGTGGGGTACGCTGGCTGAAAAAAAAACCCTCCCCCCACCAAACGCACGTGAACACTTGCCCCCTTTGGGAGGCAGAAGGCCGCTCGCAATGCTGTTATGGTTTATTTGATATTCCTGTGGAAACGTAAATTATGATAATTAGGCCACTTAGCTGCCTGAATCTGAGTGAGAGTCGCCTCTCTGTCGCCTTCCGTTGGTTTAAAGCCAAATCACAGCTCGGTTCAATGGCGCAGTCCGCTCCAGTACATGATGTTAAGTCCAACGCAATGGTTATCGGTTTGAACACAGGGAATACCTGAAAATATCTTCCTGTTCACCAAGTGCCGCTCTCTTTATTTTTAAATATGTATATACTTTATTAACGCGTTTTAACGACAGTTAGAGGGCCGACATTACAGAAACACAATTCAATCAGTGATCTGCAAGCATGTAACAATAGCTACGCCCCTTGGCCATGATCTAGCAAGTCGAGGGTTAAAGCTAAATAGGGGTGATAAAGCAGAGGGAGGTGGATTATTGTTTTAGTTTCTAGCCTTCCGCGACCCGAGGCTTGGCCGTGAGATGGACTTCGCTCACCGCGGGGTCTCTGCCTTCGACATTCATCGCGAGTTGTCCCAGCAGGCAATCGTCAATCCAACTTCTACCTTTTCCTGGGAGACCGATCCTTGGCAAAAGGGTCAAGAGCCGTCGTCTTCTCCCTTGACGCCCGTCGCGCCCTTGCGAGTTGTATTATCATGATGACGATGATGATCGTCATCGTTGGGTTAGCAATGCAAGTAGTAAAGATCATCTCCGGGCAGGCTCCGGATTTCCGCCGGCGCTTGTCCCAGGAACAATCGTCTCTCTCTTCTCGATCGACTGAAGGATCCTCCGCTTTGTGGGTATGCAGGAGGATAGATGAAGAGGGGAGCGCGAGAGAACGGAGTGTCCGATGGCTTAATTCACATCGTGGGGAGAAGGATCTCTGATCGAGAGGGAATCGGCGAAGGGGAGAGGGCCCAGACATTGATATTCACCGCCAGTGATCCCTGCCAGAGCGGCCCCCGATTGGCTCACTTATTTTAAGGGCGTAATGCAGCCTCGTGGCCAAATGTCTCAACGTCAATTTTCGAGCTTGTAATTTCAGTCAAGCCTTGTCCAGCTCGTCATCTATAAATTATAAGTCAGCGAAGAGTGCATTTGCATGCAAATTAAATGCAGGGTGTGGTATGATTTCATGCCCACGTCTCCGTTGACTCTCCAATGTAAAAATTGTTATATTATAAAAAAAAATGGCTCGTGGTAAATAAACGTGGTGCCCTGAATTGAGCTTAATAGATATGCGTTTCCCGTGTAATATAATACTACCCTTCCAGTTTAATTTTAATCAAATGCTGTATCTTACCTGCATTTAATTTGTAATTGAATTTTAATTTTATTTGTGATTATTTCATTTTTTTATGTAAAGAGTCTTTTTTATGTTTGTATTCACTTTTTACTTGTGAAAATTATTCAATGACATTTCATATTTCCGTACGGGCAGGCTTTGGGGCAGGAAAAGCTACGACTTGTAGCCCGTACCGCCTCCTGACATTTAAGGTGCTCCATTTTGACAATGTTTAAGATGTAGGTGCAAACGAAGCAAATTGTTTCACTGGTGCTATGTGTCAGTGTTGGTGTTACATTTCTTCAAATGAAAAGACAAAATAAAGCCTCTGTTCGTATGTGATTCGCTCATGTCATCGTGTCTCCTGGGCTGATTGTTTTACATCGTTGTGTGTGTCTTTGTTCCCTGGGCTGGGGTGCGGTCGTGCAGTGGTTAGCGCACTGCGCCTCGAACCCCTCTCTTCCCGAGTTCGATTCCCGCTCATGGCCACCACCAGTAATGATTATCTGAACCGGTCATGGGCCTCCCCTCGGTCGACTCGGTCTCAAATTGAGTGCTGGACCTGGTGTGCCGTGTAAGCTTCGCCACTGGGGAGACAAAGGCGGCCGGGCGTCATGCTGGCCACCCACCCCCTCGTGTGCCGTTCCGGCCTTCATAGGTTCTACTCGCGAACAGCACTTGCCCCTACAGTCTGTTAAGGCTACGCGGGGGGTCTTTGTCTCTTAGCCCCCACCACTCAGGAGATATGGAGCCACTATCGGTCTTTTGCATCCTCCAGTCCCAGTCGAGATGAAGATTTTGTCAGGACCAGCCCCCTCCACCACCCCTCCCCCACCACCCCACGCGACCCACACCCCCGCTAACACCCCTCCCCACCCACTCCACCCCTCCACATCCTGCGACCTAACTTTGAGCACATGGCAGCCTTTGACTGACCAACATGCCTGTCACTGGGCGATTACAACAATTAGCTCTATTGGCCGAATCCAGTCATAAAGGGGGATGGGAACATCCATCCGAAGGATGAGAAACACTTGTGCCTCTTAAAAAAAGATCAAATGGTTGTTTCAGCCCGCCCAAGATTAAACCAGCTTCTCAACCGTAGTAAGTTGATGGTCTCGAACAAAATACCATCGTGTTATTAGAATTAAAGATTACACCTGTAATTTAAAGAAGTCCTAAATTAATTTCAAGATAATTCATGCATTCATATTAATTGAAGTCAGTTGGAACATTTGTTAATATATATAAACGCCGTTATTATATGTAATGTAAATAACGTATTGTTTTGTGAATTAGGTGATGCACACACAATTAGCCGTGCACAACATGCACACACGCAAAGCGCGAAAGACATACAATCTTCTGAAACCAATTATTGGGCCACTTGTAATTGGGGATGAGAGAAAAAATAGACAAAATACGCACACTGCATTAGCAATATATAGCTTCATTCATTAAGTTTATTTGTGGACGTTGATGTGAACACATTAACTGAGAGCCGCATTCAAACTCTTGAAGGTCACTTGTATCAGAAGCAGATGGCTGCTTTGTTTGTAACTTGACAAAAAAAAAGAAATGCATTAATCCGGTCTCCAGATGCATTATAAAAAAGCCGTGCAGAGCCAAAGTCTCGTCAATAAGTATCTTAATGTCTGCCGCCGCGATCAGCAAGTGTTTTAAAACCGTGCCAAAAAAACAACAGAAAACCATTAAGACAGCAAACAAACAATAAATCAAAATTAATTAAATGCCCATTACAATGTGTTTTTTTTTTACTTTCCTTACAACTGCCGTTAGGTGGTGTTTCGCGGTCTGTGCCTGAAGGCTCTCCCCGGTGCACGAGGCTTTCGGGTTGTAACCGCGCGGCGTTCTGACCAAGCTCCCAAGCACGCGCTGCGAAACGTCGGACGTCGTGTTAAGCAGCACGCGGCGCAAACCTCCTGAAAGCGCATCGGAGAGCTTTTGAACAACAGGCACACAAATGTGTAACAGCGACATAATAGATCACACAGCCGCTGTCCTTAATGCAAAAACAAAACTTGGAGTGCGTTGTGGTCTTCTTCTCTTGGACAAATGTGCTCGACCGACAGCAGCAATGATGCCGTGATAGATCAACAAACGCTGTTCTGCTCCGCACTCTTATTCTGCTACGGCGATGCGGTTTTATAATTTCCTTTACAGACTTGACGTATTGTGTTGCTGTTATTATTAACTGCAGTTACTGTTTAGTGTTTATACTTGCACATATAAATGTTACCGTGATTTAAGTCTAAGATGAAACACACAACGACCAAACTCTCATTCTCTTTTGTTCTTTCGGTAGTCACATAGGTAGAAAAAAATAATAGATCACGGCGTTTCGATCGCAACAACAAGCGACCGTCATCAGGTGAGACCGTCTACCTACGTGACTTTACCGAAAGAACCGAAGAGTATGGATTCCTGCAGACACGAAAGCTTCGAATCATGATCAAACTCTCATTGTTACACGGGGTTGGCTGTTCAGATTGTCTGTGTACTCAAATTGCGCGCCTCTTCAGATCACGTTCCACCGCCATCCTCTCTCCTCATCCCGCAGTCTCCCTCTGCTCCTCCCTGCCCTGCACCGGTGGCATCCCCGTCGCCAGCCTCGTCTGCGGGTCCCATACGTGAGTCTGCGGGTCTCTATGCGAGTCTGTGGGTCTCTGTGTGAGCTTGTGGGGCTGTGTGAGTCCATGGGTCTCTATAAATATATAAACCAACGACACTTTTTTTAAAGAATCTGAATATGTATTTACACTGGAGGAATCCGATGAGCTCTTAAGCTCTTTTTCACCAAGTAAGACCCACCGAGCTATATAACTCTCTTTCAGAAACGACCTGGCCATCACAGACGATAGCTCAACGAAGTGGCTTATCACGTGGAAATGTACAGCAGCCAAATATTCTAAACGCGTGACGTTGATTCACAATGTAGAGGGAAAACCCGGAGGACTCGGAGAAAAATCGACGCGACCACTTGTGGGTTCGGAATCGAACCCACAAACTCCTGTATACCCAGCGAGGTTGTTAACATCTCGCCACCGTGGCGCCCCTATATATATGGGTCTCTCATCTCCACAGTCCTTCTCCCTGCATCTTATGTATCTCAACTCAACAGAATTCCAAACCATCAAAGTCTCGGCAAACTTAACCTCCAGAATATTGGTTCTCATGATATAACGTATGAATTCCCCCTCACTTTAACGTTTGCCTCCATATGTCACTAGCACAGAACACGAGCAATATTAATTTAATGTATTGGAGAACAAAATCGAATAGCCCACAAGATAGTGGGAGAATGGTGGTGGCTTGGGAAGGCCTTTATCAAGCAGTGGACTGATCATGGCTGCTGCTGCTCATGATGATAAAAAACGCACGAATACATTACCTTTGCATTCATTTATAAAAGTGCAACATAGTAGCCAGGGGAAAATATATATATAAGTACAGTAAACATATTTCAGCTCTTCAAATATCGTCGCATAAAAGGCTCTAAAAAATGCTGACTCTCTTTATTTCCATCTTTGTATTCCCCAGCCTTAAACTGGCTGCTGGCCAGGTCTCCCTATCAATTGCGAGCACACACGCGTATTTTTTATTCAAAACTAGGGCAGCTGCGGTGACCTTGGGTTTCCTGGAGACCAAACAAGCTTGGCCAGAAAGTCTGGTCTGTTGCCATCGGAATTATTGCAAATCCATACAAATGATATCGACGTGGTGTGCAATGTCTACCCAGAAACATTGCAATCGAAATGTACTGACCAAACATAAGTAAGGGTACTGCAAGTACTTCTACAATTTTGGGTTAATATAATTATCATTTATAACAGATTCTACTAAATATATAGACAAACAATTAATCTATATATTACATATATACAATTTGTATACATATGAAGTATGTATAATTTGCATATATCTGTATATTAAATATGCAAGCCATATTATGTGCCTTTATCAAGGTGAAGGAGGTGATCGGTTAAATATAACTCACTGCTGCCCTTTTGCTATGGGCCGGAAAAATCGAACTCTGGTGGCTCGGTTTCACTGCGCAGTGCGCTAACCATTGCGCCACCACTCGGCGATAGACAAATGCTCGCACGATTGCGGCGCACTGAAATGTGTGATGAACCTACCACGAAGCGCTTTGACCCCCAAAGACTTCATTACTCGAATAATAAACTGTAATTGTTTCGTGGTTTTTTTTTTCAGGACATCAGTGCTGTAACTACCAATGTTTAAAGCTCATACCATGCAATTAGGGAGTGCCAGAACAAGCTGTGAAGAGAAATGCAAACACGCAGGGCATGCTGCCAAAACTGCGCAAATACTCATTATATAAGCCACTGCTTTGTCTCTCCGTCTCCAGCCAAGCTGCTATATATGCCCGCAAACGGAAATTTCCATCACTCCTGCATGATGTGCTTACTGGAGCATCGAAAATAATGTGGCATTTAATATGTAAAGCGCGGTCAACATCAACAACAAAAAAAGCACGCTTACGTCCACAAAGATACCCCGTATAGCCTTAGCAGAGTGTTGTTAAGTCAGCAGTACTTGATGGCCGTGGCACGCCACATTTAGGGGGTTCGGGGGGTGGATGGCCAGCACTTCGGCAGTCCGCTTTAGTATCCCAAGGTGGCGATGTTCATATCGCAGCGCAGCACGTACTCGCTTGAGACCGAGTTGAACTCGGGGAGGCCCATAACGGGTTGCAGATAATCGTCACTGGTGTTGGTTGGCCGTGAGTGGGAATCAAACTCGGGTCGCCGGGTTCGTATAGCAGCGCGTTAACCGCCACACTGCGTATAAATATAACATCATTATACACGCATACACACATATACGTGTATGAGTTTGCGAACAGCGATGTCAAATAAAGATCGGTCGGGCAAATTGATGCTCCCGTGGAGCGGTCTCACGAGTAGAGAGCAACAATCCTGGCTCTGCAAATCTGCACGAGTTGAGGTTTTAAAAATAAATCCTCAATTGAGCCCAGCAGGCCAGATGTTTGGGGCAAGAGCTCATACCGACCGAGCCTTTTGTGTGCGAGCATTCCCCCCTCCCCAACAAAAATACACCACACCGACCCACCAGGTCACTCGCTGCCTTTGAAACTGACAGCTTTGCCATTTCATGCCAGAAAATATCTGTAGGATAGCGTCGCCCACGATTCGCTTGGTTTCAATCGTGGATCTCCGCTACACGAACCACCTTTGCAATGGGCATTAACAGACAGCAATTTCCTTCTGAGTAGTGTGACTATGCTTGTCATTTTACAACATTATTATTATTGTTGTTGTGTTCCTGTAGCATTTGCTGCATATGACC